TACTGGAGAGGCTGGAGGAAGGGGCAGATGATGACCGTTGATGGGTCTAGGGTTGCTTTTTGAAGCGATGAGGTACTTTGGAATTTGTGTGGATGACTGCTCAATTTTGTGAATATATTTTAAAACTACTGAAATAGTTTTAGAAACTATTTTAGAAATAGTAGAATAGAAACTATTCTATTAGAATACTCTACTATTTAGTAGAAAACTAAACTAACTAAACTAAAACTCTTCTATTAGAATAGAATAGAAACTACTGAAGCCTGCTTCCCTCTGCCTGTGTCTCTGCCTCTCTCTCCTGTGTTTCTCATGAATAAATAAAATCTTTTAAAAAAATATTTACCCTCTCTCAAACATTTTAAACTACATTTATAAATTTAATTGTTCAATTTCCTTTAAGTTTCTTAGTTTTCTGACAAACCTAAGTTCTTAAATATATCCTATAAATCTATTAAACATAATATGTTGAATCTCAAGTTCCCTTAAATATTGTAATACAGAAAATAATATTGTAATACTATTTATAATTTAATAAGATTTTAACCTAAAATCACAAGTTTAATTTTTTTTAAAGGTCTTACTTATTCATGAGAGAACACAGAGAGGCAGAGACATAGGCAGAGGGAGAAGCAGGCTCCACACAAGGAGCCCGATGCAAGACCCAATCCTGAGACTCCGGGATCACGCCCTGAGCTGACGGCAGGCGCCCAACCGCTGAGCCACCCTGGCACTCTCCCACAAGTTTAATTTAATTCAGTTTTACATTTTATTTTTTAAAAATATTTTATTTATTTATTTGAGAGAGAGAGCAGAAGCAGGGGGAAGGGCAGAGGGAGGAGGAGAAGTAGACTCTCCACTGAGTGGGGAGCCCCATGTGGGGCTTGATCCCAGGACCCTGGGATCATGACTTGAGCCAAAGGCAAACATTAAACTGACTGAGCCACCCAGGCACCCCTACATTTCATTTCATTTTATTTAAAAAAAATGTATTTACTTATTCAAGAGGGAGAGAGAGAGAGTGGGGGAGTGCAGAGGGATAGGAACAAGCAGAACTATTGGATGAGCATAGAGCCCAACACAGGGCTCCATTCCACAACCCTGAGATCTCAACCTGAGCCAAAACCAAGAGTCCGACGTTTAATCAACTGAGCCACTCAGGCGCCCTTCAATTTTACATTTTAAGTTAGAATTATAAAGGTCCCTTGGTAGACACTAGTATGCTAACTTCTCGTTAGCATTTCAAATCCTTAAAATACTAAATATATAACGATCATACATGAATGCTACAGAAAAATACTAATGCAAAATTTTTACTTAGGTCACCATGTTTGTATTTCTGAAACTCCCTGGGGTTATTCATTTATTAAAAAAAATATTTACCAGGCAGCCCGGTGGCTCAGCAGTTTAGCGCCGCCTTCAGCCCAGGACGTGATCCCGGACACCTGGGATCGAGTCCCACGTCGGGCTCCCTGCATGGAGCCTGCTTCCCCCTCTGCCTGTGTCTCTGCCTCTCTCCTCTCTCTCTCCTCTCTGTGTTTCTCATGAATAAATAAAATCCTTAAAAATATATATATATTTACCAATGACACCTGAAGCTAATGTAACACTGTGCATCAACTACTACACTAAAAAAAAAAAAGATAGGAAATTTGTTTTTTAAAATACTTTATTTATTTATTATTTATTTTTTTAATTTTTATTCATGGGAGACACAGAGAGAGAGGCAGAGACAAACGCAGAGGGAGAAGCAGGCTCCATGCATGGAGCCCAACATGGGACTCGATTCCAGGTCTCCAGGATCGGGCCCTGGGCTCAAGGCAGCGCTAAACCACTGAGCCACCTGGGCTGCCCCAGAAAGATATTCTAATGACCCTTATTAAATTGAAGATGCTCTTGCTTAGGACCTAGCAATTCTATTTCTATCTATGCTAGAGAAATTATCTAAGAAGCACAATGGAGGGGCACCTGGGTGACTCAGTCAGTTAACTGTCTGACTCTTGATTTCTGCTCAGGTCATGATCGTTGTGAGATCAAGACCTGTGCCAGGCACCGAGCCTGCTTAAAATTCTTTCTCTCCCTCTCCTTCTACCCCTCCCCCTAGAGGGCTCAGACCACCCAGTGTAGATCCAGGCTCCCTGCTACTTGCCAAGAGACCTTAGGAACAAAGCTTGACCCCTCTGTGCCTTGGGTTCCTCTTCTGTAAAGTGGAGGTAGAAGAGAGAAGACAAAAGAATGGGGTGGAGAACTTTAGCAGTATCCTAATGTTTTATTTCTCTTTTAAAAAAAGAGGAACATTTTAACATCTGTCTTGGTGGATAAGTATATGAATGTTGATACTATTTTCAGTACATTTATTTCATATGTTTTATAGTTTTAAATTTAGAGGTTAAAAGATCACAAAACAGGGCAACCCGGGTGGCTCAGCGGTTTAGCGCCGCCTTTGGCCCAGGGCCTGATCCTGGAGATCCAGGATCAAGTCCCATGTTGGGCTCCTTGCATGGAGCCTGCTTCTCCCTCTGCCTGTGTCTCTGCCTCTCTCTCTCTCTCTCTCCCTGTGTTTCTCATGAATAAATAAATAAAATCTTAAAAAAAAAAAAGAAAAGAAGAAGATCACAAAACAGGGGCCCCTGGGTGGCTCAACTGGCTAAGTGTCTGCCATAGGCTAAGGTCACGATCCCAGGATCCTTGGATTGAGCTCCAAGTCGGGCTCCCTGCTCAGTGGAGTCTGTTTCTCCTTCTCCCTCTGCCTCTACCCCCGGTCGTGCTCTCTCTCTCTCTCAATCTCAAATAAATTTAAAAATATATGATTTTATTATTTTTTGAAGATTTTATTTATTTATTAATGAGACACACAGAGAGGCAGAGACACAGGCAGAGGGAGAAGCAGGCTCCCTGTGGGGAGCCTGATGCAGGACTTGATCTCAGGACCCTGGAATCACGATGTGAGCTGAAGGCAGATGTTCAACCATTGAGCCACCCAAGTGCCCCTAAATAAAACATTTTTTTAAAAGATCACAAAACCAAACAAACACATCGGTACACTTTTCTTTAAGTTTTTAGTTTTATTTTTTATTTTTTATTTTTTTTTTAGTTTATTTATGATAGTCACAGAGAGAGAGGCAGAGACACAGGCAGAGGGAGAAGCAGGCTCCATGCACCAGGAGCCCGATGTGGGACTCGATCCCGGGTCTCCAGGATCGCGCCCCGGGCCAAAGGCAGGCGCCAAACCACTGCGCCACCCAGGGATCCAAGTTTTTAGTTTTAATTACAATGTTGTTAACATACAGTGTTACATTAGTGTCACATGTACAATATTGTGATTCAACAATTCTGTACATTACTCAGTGCTCATCATGAAAAGCGACATATAGTTTTCTCTACAAGCACCCTTGCCTCCTTCCATGCCACTTACCACATTGCAACCAGAGACTTAAAACATAAACTGGGCCTTATTGGGGCATCTGGGTGGCTTCGTCGGTTGACAGTCCAATTCTTGGTTTTGGCTTAGGTCATGATCTCAGGGTCCTGGGATCGAGCCCTGCATTGGGTTCTGGGCTCAATGAAGAGTCTGCTTGAGATTCTCTCCCTTGTCTAGTACTCTGTCTCTACAGTAAACACATTTTTTTTTTTAAATAAAGATTCTATTTATTTATTCGTGAGAGACACAGAGAAAGTGGCAGAGACATAGGCAGAGGGAGAAGCAAATTCCCACAGGGAGCCTGATGCCGGATGCGATCCCAGGATCACGACCTGAGCCGAAGGCAGACACTCAACCACTGAGCCACCCAAGTGCCCCTACAGTAAATAAATCTTAAACAAAACAAAAACTGGGCCTTGTTCCTTTACCTAACCTTTCTCTCGTCCTGCACAATCTGGCTCCTGTAGGCCTCTTCTCTCTCCAACACCGATTCGTACTTACCCTGGATCCTCCAGCCATTGTGTGGTCATTGTGTCCGTCAGGTCTTGTTAGGCCATGGGGATATGGCGGTGACCAGGATGGAGAGAGCTGCAACAGCTGCCATTTTAGGGAGGAAACAAATACTAAACAAAGCAATAAATCCAGATAATTGTGAGTACAATACAGAAATAAACAGGGTCTCAGGAGAGCAAAGCCAACAGGCACTCAGCTCTCAGATTCAGAGTTCAGATCTCAGGTCAAATGCCCCCTTCCCAGCAAAGCCCTTCTGGACTCCTCACGTGGGGTGGTACCCTATCACTGCAATCAGGTCCTTATTCTAACATTTAACCAGAATTATAAGTAAATAAACATCTGATTGGCTGCTTGGTGTGTTTCCCTCCCTACAAAGTCAGCTCTTTGAGGGTGGAAGCTTGCCCTCTCCATGCAAGTGGCTGTAGGCACTCAGTCAATATTTGTGAAAGACAGAAACCAGGAATGAGGCTAAATGATTTCTACCGGTTTCCAAATTCCACAAGTATAATCAGAGCAACTCCTGAGGACAAATGTTACCCAAACAACAAATCCTTGCACTGTAGGTATGTTTAGGATATATACCTTTTCACTACATGATGAGCCTTTTAATACTGAAAATGCTAATGAGAATGTTAGAAAAATTCTAAGGATGATGGAACGCTGCAGCATCTGAGAGTTAACAATTATTTCAGTGGCAGCATCACCACCTAAAAAACAAACAAACCAGCTACGATTCATCAAGAAACCCACTGGAAAACAAAACGTGATTTTTTAAAAAAATTCAGGATAAGCAAGGCAAATGGCATCAAGTAGGCTCGATATTCTGGGGCAGTGGAGGGTACCAGTGGATGGAAAGCAGGTGTATAGGGTAGTCCTGGTCTTGAGATGCCACCCGATTTTCAACTTCACGACCTGTGTCATCATTGGGGAATTGGGCTACACTCTAGTGATCAAAGTCATGGTGTCATTTTAACCAAGATTTGTTGCCTGTCCCATCTAACAATTTATGAGAATGCTCTGGCTTTCAGTAAAGGAGTTGTTCTTTCTTTTCTTTTCTTTTTTTTTACAGAGGGAGAGAGAGAATGAACAGCGAGAGGAGTAGAGGGAGAGAGAGAATCCCAAGCAGACTCCACACTGAACACAGAGCCTGATGCAGGGCTTGATGTCACGACCCTCAGATCATGACCTGAGGTGAAATCAAGACTCAGAGGCTTACCCAGCTGAGCCACCCAGGCACACCAAGAATTTTGTTTTCTGTCTTTTTTTCTCCTTTCCATGCCCTTCGTCTTTTGTATAACTAACTGCCCTGGTGAGGTTAAGAGTCAGGGAGCTTAGCCTAGGTGCAGATTCAATTTCCTGGGATTTTGCAGATTTGTTAGGAGAGAAGAGGAGGAATTCACTTGGGCTTGCCCTTGACCTTTCCTTTGGTTTGTTGCTTGACCTGTGGTTTCCCCAACATGCCCTGGCCCCCCCAGTGTGGCTGCTGTATGGCCTACAGGAATAGCTGGAGTTTCTAAGCTCTGAGCTCTGTTTGGGATCAAGTCCAACAAGTCACAGAAGGCTCAATATAAAGAAGCCCTGTTATACAGTTCTGCCCCAAAGGTCACCTCCTTCTCAGATTCTCCTGGCATCCTAAGTGTATCAGCAAATGCAGAGTCCTGTGGGTGCCAACAGGCCTCCTGTAGAGTGGGATTTTTGGAAAAGAACCATGAGAGAGTTAAGAATTATATACCGTTTTCTGTATTTATTGAAAATGATTTATTTGTAAGCTGTGTATATGGTGGAAGGGGTGTGGTGTGTGTGTGTGTGTGTGCAATAGCTGACAGTAAGGAAAATATTAATTTCATCACGTGGAAAACACCCCAGGGAAAACCATGAAAAAGACATTTCAAGAAGAGTTTCTATTTCAAGAAAATTTGTGTCTTCTCTGGAGAAATAAAGGATCTTTGAACAGCGATTTCTGAAACAGGCAGGATGGTTCAAAGGAGAATGGAAGAAGGAGAGCCAACTTCAAGCTTCCCCTGTCCCCAAATCATATAAAAGGGAAAAAGAAAAACACTAAGTTCTGAACCTGGAAACTTTAGTAATTACCACCAAGGAGAACAAACTGCTTCAGGATTTGAGTCATTTGTGGTTCCTGCCCAACTGGCAAGAAGTTAAACAGAATGAAAAATCATGTGTTCCCATCCATCTCACAGAACACAATTGTAAATTGTGCCCACTGCTTCTGACTCGCTAGCCTGGGTGCAGAACCGGAATGAGCAGTTAGCGGACAGAAACTCGGCATTTACTATGTGCAAAGGAAGGAACCAGGCATTAGGCTGCAGGCACTTTTCTTCTCATGGAGCTGACCACTCAGGTTAGAAAGAGGGAGCAGAGAATTCACATGTGAAAAATGAATATAACAGCAATATTGTGTTCTCCAATGAATGTCTGTAATTGGGGAAAGAAAACTGAAAGGTAAGGATAAAAATTGGACAAAATCACGTGATCTAGATTTTGGAGCCCATGATGATTTGAATGACTTATCAATCACCTAGAAGACAAAGTCTTCTACCAAAACGTATAGAGATTTTAACTGGTGATGGCAGGAAAACAGCCAATGGAGTTCTGATCACCTTCTGGTGAAAGCAAACCAGTTCCTCACAGCTGACCCAAACTGTTGTGAAAACATGGATCCTCACTGTTCATTAAAGACCTTCAAATCGAACAATTACCGAGCGCCAGTCCTTGTACTAAGCAAATAGGGATAGAGATAAATGGGTCCCAATTCTTCTCTTCGATTTGGCCATGAAAGCCAGTTTTTAACCCGAAATTATGGTGAAATATGGTAAATGCAACACAATAGAATTTCTTAAAATTTTATTTATTTATTCATGAGAGAGAGGCAGGGACACAGGTAGAGAGAGGGAGAAGCTGGCTCCATGCAGGGAGCCTGATGTGGGACTGGATCCCAGGACTCCAGGATCACGCCCTGGGCATGAAAGGCAGGCGCTCAACCGCTGAGCCACCCCCATCAATACAACAGAATTTTACACGAGGGGCACCTGGGTGGCTCAGCGGTTGAGCCTCTGCCTTTGGCTCAGGTCGTGATCCTGGGGTCCTGGGATCAAGTCCCAAATCGGGCTGCCTGCTCAGTAGGGAGTCTGCTTCTCCCTCTGCCTGTGTCTCTCTGCCTCTCTCTGTGTCTTTCATGAATAAAGAAAATCTTTAAAACATTTTTTTTTCTAATCCAAACAATACAATATTATACCAATTGCTTTGGCAGCATGGTGGGGAGTGAATCCTGGCTGGACCACCTACAGCCTAAATGACATGGGACAAATGATCCAATCATTCTCCAGCCTGCTTCTGTGGATAATTAGGAGTATCCACCTTGGGTCTGGTGCACAGCGAGTGCGTAGTAAACGACAGTCATTGTTCATTATCTTTATTATTCATCATTTTTAAAAAAGATTTTTATTTATTATGATAGTCACACACACAGAGAGAGGGGGGGGAGAGAGAGAGAGAGAGAGAGAGAGAGAGAGAGAGAGGCAGAGACACAGGCAGAGGGAGAAGCAGGCTCCATGCGCCGGGAGCCTGACGTGGGATTCGATCCCGGGTCTCCAGGATCGCGCCCTGGGCCGAAGGCAGGCGCTAACCGCTGCGCCACCCAGGGATCCCTATTATTCATCATTATTAGGACATTTGGGCTTTGCGATTGAAGATTACTTCAATAGGGCGAAACCCCGGCGCAAACAATGCTCAAAGCATTCGGGCATATGGAGCACCCATGTTTCTGGAACGAAACGCGGTCACATCCCACAGAGCGGACAGCCGTCTCCTCCGCCAATCGGGGGCAAGTCCCACCTCGCAGCACCGTGAGAACGCCCCGACCACAAACGCCAAGCGCCAGGGCGCGGGAGCCCACCGCACAGGAACCGCCGCTTCCGCCGGGACACCCGAGCGATCGGGACCGCAGGGCACGGTCCACACGTCGGTCGGGGTCCGCGTCCGCGTCCGCGTGGGCCCCGCGCGGGGGCAGCCGGATGCCCCTACTCCCCCCGCCCCGCCCCGCCCCGCCCCGCCCCCCGGGCTGCCCGGGCGCCGCCGCCGCTCCAGACCCACAGCGCCGACGGGGCCTCCCACACAAATCGCACAGAGACGCAAGCCGCCGAACGTCCCGTCCTGGAGCGACCTGCCTTCTCGGAAGTCGATGCGATCCGGTCCAACCTTCCTCTCATTAGCCGTCTGGCCGCCGGGCCTCCCCTAGCCACCGGCGCCCCCCAACCCCGGGCCGCGGCCGGGGCGCTCTGCGCAGGCGCGAGAGGCGCTGGCCCCCGCTTCCGCGGCGGCCCGGCGTCCCTCGGGGGCTGGGGGCGGGGCCTACGTGATGGCGTCATGGGGCGGGGCCTCCGGCGCGGGAAGAATGGAGGTGCAGGAGAGCGGCGGCGGCGCGGGGGAGCGCGGGCCCCAGGACCCTCCGCCCGCCTCCAGCAAGGCCCCGGGCAGCACCGGCCACTACGAACTGCCGTGGTGAGGGCCCCGCCATAAGCGATGGGTGCTCTGGGCGTGTGGTGGGCGCGTTGGCGGGCCGTGTCCTGCGGGAACTCAGGGCGGGAGGCCGCGGGGTGGCACCGAGTAGCTGCGGCTTCGGAGAAGGCCAGCGTCGCGGTCCTCGGCCCCGCCTGGGCGCACGGTGGGCGGTCTGAACTCTGGAAGCGGGTTCTAATTGTGCTAATTGTGATCGTCGCCGCCCACTCAGCGCCTGGCGGGAAGCGTCGGGTGCGGGTCGGTCGGAGCTCGGGGTGGTGTGCTGCAGGCGCGTCCTGGGCACCCGAGAGCAGCGGGTGACCTGGACAGCCACCTGCCACGGGCGCAGGTGTGGTGTGGGCCATCCCCTTCGGGCCCACTCCTCCATCCTCCTTGAGTGCCCATCCCTCCAACCCACCCCTCTCCTGACCAGATACCTAAATGGAGAGCAGTACACCTTACTGGCCCATCCATCCACGGCTGCACTGTCCAGTCTCCCAGCCACTGGCCCCTTGAGGCCGTTGAGAGCAATGGAAATGAGGCTGGTCCGAATGGGGATGGGCTGATGGTGTACAAAATACACCCGATTTCCAGAACTTAGTATAAAAAAAAAATCTCATTCGTAATTATTACATTGATTACATGTTGAAAATGATAATCTTTTGAATATATCAGGGTCAGTAAATTGTTAATAAAATTAACTTTCACCCATTTTTACTTAAAAAAAAACAGTTTTTAAAATTTATTTCAGAGAGGGAGAGAGAGAGAGAGAGAGAGAGCGCAGGCACACGGAGGTGGGGGTGAGAAGCAGACTCCCCACTGATCCCAGAGCCTGGATGCAAAGCTCTATCCTAGGACCAGAAGATCATGACCTGAGCCAAAGGCATAGGCCTAACCAACTGAGCCACCCAACTGCCCCTCATTTTACTTCTTTTTTTTTTTTTTTTTAAAGATTTCATTTATTCATGAGAGACACAGAGAGAGGCAGAGACACAGGCAGAGGCAGAAGCAGGCACCACGCAGGGAGCCTGATGTGGGACTCGATTCTGGGTCCCCAGGATCAGGCCCTGGGCTGAAGGCGGCACTAAACCGTTGAGCCCCCCAGGCTGCCCTCATTTTAGTTTTTAATGTGGCCACAGAAAGTGTAAAATTACACATGTGGCTTGAGTTATATTTTTTTATGCACAACACTACTATAGATGCTTAGGATATTTCATTATACAAAACACTCTGCTGGGGCATCTGGGTGGCTCAGTGGTTGAGCATCTGCCTTCCGCTCAGGTCATGATCCTGGGGTCCTGGGATTGAGTCCTGCATCAGGCTCCCTACATGGAGCCTGCTTCTCCCTCTGCCTGTGTCTCTGACTCTCTCTGTGTGTCTCTCATGAATAAATAAATAAAATCTTTAAAAAACAAAACACTGCTGCCATGAGCTTCCATTTCATGGGGGAAAGAATAAAGAATAAACCCAATAGATATGCAGTATATTTGATGATGGTAGGTGGCATAAAGTAAAATGACTGTGGTGGTCAGTGACGGCCTTTAATGAGATAATTTCAGCAAAGACCTGAACTCAGGAGTGAGCCATGTGGTGATGTGGAGAAAGCTTTCAAGCAGGAGGAGCCCCTGTGAAGGCCCTGAAGGAGGAGCATGTTTGCCATGTTCATAGTCCAGTTCAAATTTCAGCGCCTGACATTCCCAAGTGTTGGCTCTCTCCCTCTTCTGAGCTTCCACAGCCCTTGGTTTATATAACCGGTTTAGCACTATAGTAAGATTTGCTAAGCTCTATGTGCTTGCTGATAGGAAAAGCCTTTATTCATTCATTCATACATACATTCATTCATTTCTTTGTTTATTTTAAAGATAAATATTTATTTATTTATTATTATTTATTTATTTATTTATTTATTTGACAGAGAGAGCACAAGCAGGGGGAGTGGCAGGCAAGAGAGGGAGAAGTAGGCTCCCCGCTGAGCCGAGAGCCTGACATGGGGGTTGATCCCAGGAATCATGACCTGAGCCTAAGGCAGACACTTAACCAACCTGAGCAACCCAGGTACCCAGGAAAAGCCTTTAGAGCAAGAACAATGTCTTGCTTGTTTCTCTACCTTCCTCTTTTCTCCCCTTAAGGTCTCAAATTCCTTATATGGTGCTCAGCACCTGGAAAGGACTGAGTATAAACAAGAAATGAGTAGGAACAAGCATGCTCCATCTGCTGGTCTTGGAGGAGAGCTCTTTATTTACTGTAGTATGTGACAAACAAGCTTCTTTGCACTTAGCTGCTTCTGGAGCAGAACCAATACCTGCAGGGACTGCAAGCTGAGGGTAAATCAGAGAGTACAGTAAAGGGCAGAGGAAGTGCTGATGGTCAAATCATTGCAAATCTATGCCACTTCTGTTCTCAGAGCTAGAGAAAGTCATAACATAGCTTGCTTTATTTGAAAAGAGAGAAGTGTTGAGGTGCCTGGGTGGCGCAGTCGGTTCAGCATCTGACTCTTGATTTCTGCTCAGGTCCTGATCTCAGGGTCATGAGATCCAGCCCTTCTTGGGCTCTGGGCTCCAGGGAGTCTGCATGGAATTCTCTCCCTTTGCCCCTCCCCCAACTCATGTGCACGTAAGCCCGTTTGTGTGCATGTGTTTTCAAATAAATAAATCTTTAAAAAGAAAGAAATATTGATCTGAGAAAGCCACTAGCCTGTCCACATAGCCTCATAGGATCACAGGATAGGCTTATGATTTCTGTCTAGCCAGCCCTGCTGTGCACCTGGCACAAGTGTGCAGGAACTGGCAGGTAAGGGATGAGAAGGGGGCTGGGTTGCACCATGTCTGTCAGATTGGATGATATCAGTGCCGCATGTACTAAGCTTCTGTTGTGACGGGCAGACCGGGCTGCTGCAGTGTCCCATTGCTCCAGATGGCCCACTCTGGCCCTTCTCCAGCAACAACAGGTGTGTCTCTGCCATGGCGGGTTTGAACCCTGTGGTGTACAATCCTTAGGCACTTTTCAAAGGGCACTTGGGTACCTCTTTAAATGTAAAACCTACAACATTTACTGTATTTAAATTGAATGTATACAGTCTTCTGACAAAGATCTCAGGATTGCCCTTTAGTGCTTGTTCTTGGGCAGAGTAAAAATAGTCATGTCAACATCTTTATGCATTTTCTTAAAAACAGGGTTGAAAAATACAGGCCAGTAAAGTTGAATGAAATTGTCGGGAATGAAGACACGGTGAGCAGGCTGGAGGTGAGTGATTTTTTTAAGAGATGATCTTACATCACATCATGGTTTTGAAAAGCTTGAGGCATTTGGAGGAAGGCTGCCAAGATAGTGGGGTGGGGTGAGCCATGAATCCAGATTGAGGGATTGAGAGATAGTCTGTTTGGAGAAGACTGGAAACCATGGTGTCTAACTTCACATGTTTCAAGCACTAGGTTAATGGGGTGGGGTTCTCTGACCTATGGTTCTAGAGCCGGGATGGCAAACCTTTTCTGTAAAGGCCAACTGGTAGATATCTGAGACTTTGTAAACTGTATAATGCCTTTGTCCAATAATCTTAATTTTTTAAACAATCCTTTAAAAACATAAAAATTGGGCCGCCTGGGTGGCTCAGTCAGTTAAGCATCTGCTTTCAGCTCAGGTCATGATCTTGGTCCTGGGATTGAGCCCTGCATCTGGCTCCTTGCTCAACGGGGAATCTGCTTCTCCCTCTCCCTCTGCCCTTCCCCCTTCGCTGCTTGTGTTCTCTCTCAAATAAATAAGTAAAATCTTAAAACAACAACAACAACAAAAAAAAAAACCAGAAAGAAACAAAAATCATTCCTAGCTAGGAGGCTTATAAAAACAGGTCCAGGGGCACCTGGGTGGCACAGTCAGTTCAGCGTTGGACTCTTAGTTTTGGCTCAGGTCATGATCTCCGGGTCATGGGAATTTTGCTTGGGATTTTCTCTCTCTCTCTCTCCCTTTGCCCCACCCTGCTCATGCTCTTTCTCTTTCTCTCTCAAGTAAATAAATCTTTTTTTTAATAATAAATTTATTTTTTATTGGTGTTCAATTTGCCAACATACAGAATAACACCCAGTGCTCATCCCGTCAAGTGCCCCCCTCAGTGCCCGTCACCAATTCACCTCCACCCCCCCGCCCTCCTCCCCTTCCACCACCCCTAGTTCGTTTCCCAGAGTTGGGAGTCTTTATGTTCTGTCTCCCTTTCTGATATTTCCCACACATTTCTTCTCCCTTCCCTTATATTCCCTTTCACTATTATCAAGTAAATAAATCTTAAAGAAACAACCAGACCTCAGGCTGGATTACCTCTCACTTCCCCCCAACACTCCTTCATTATAGTTTGGCAACCCCTGCCTAGAAGGCCTAAGTGACAGGACACAGCCTACTTTAGGACGACAGGAACAAGTAGGAGTATTCACAATATAGCAAGCTTTGAAATCCTAGCGCTAGAGGTCTTTAGTCAAAATCTAGAAGCCCAGCTAATTGAGACATGATGGAAGCAGTCTCTGCAGTAATTGGGCCTTAGACTTTAACAGCTGCCAAGATATTTATTCTACAAATGTATTCATTTTACAAGTATTTCCTGGCCAGGTATGGTATGATGTTAGGAGCTGTTGATATAACAGTGAACAAAATAGACACAACCGCTGCCTGTGTGATTTAGTCTCATAGAGGCTAAAGTCAATAGGTACTGTGATGTGCATTCTGCCAGAGGAGGTACGGGGTGCTCTGGATGCACATGGGGAAGAGTTGACCTGCTCACAGTGTCTTAGTTCTCAAATGGAAAAAGGGACGGCAGAGCTAAGTAAGTGAAAGTTAATCAGACTTGGGGGTCAGGAGCAGAGGGAGGGAAGGCAGCAGGAATAGCATACGCAAAGGCCCAGAGGTGAGAGGGCTTAGCTTGTTGGCAGTGGGTGGGAGCTATGGGAGGGTGGTACCATCTGATTGGAATACAGAGTAGTGCTTTCCAGACGTTAATGGGTATATGAATTTGCCTGTGGGATCTTGTTAAAAATGCAGATCCGGACCCAAATTTCTGGAGCGGGGCCAGAGAGTCTACATTTTTCTAACAGGCTCCTGGGGGATCCGGGTGCTCTGGGTCCATGGAGCCCACAGAATAACAAGGCTGTGGAGTGTATGTATTGGGGTGTGTAAGAAATGAGCTGGTGAGGTGGGCATGGTCTCCTGAGCCCTGTTTAAGGGTTGGGGCTCACAGGGCAGGAAGGAGTCCACCAGGGGCTTCAGTCAGGTGCAAATGTTTTAATAGATGGGCATCCTAGAAAATTGGTTGTGGTTATAGTAGGGAAAGTGTATGGGCTGGGGCAGGATTAGAAGCCAGGAGACCAATTCAGGGCCAGTTCAAAGCCAACCAGGTGAGAGGTAATTGGTGAAGTAAGTGGCAGTGGGGCTGAAGAAAAGGACATGGAGATAGAGGAGAGGAAATGGCCAAGCCTCTGTAACTGAGGTGCTGTTTGGGGCATGGGGAGTGGAGGAGACCCAGTCAAGGATGACCATGACCTCTAGGTTCCTGGTGTAGGCAGTAGAGTTGATGGCATGGACGGCCTAGGTGAGGGGAAGCATGGGTAGGGCCTCGGGCATGAGGGGGAATGAGGACGTTGGTTCTGAATAAGCAGAGGAGAGAGTTCTGTGGGGTATCCACATGGAGAACCCTGTGGCCATGTCCCTAAACTGGTCTGTGTGGCCGAGGAGGCTTGGCACCTCAGGTCTGCAGATTAACCACTTTTTAAAAAAAATGTTTTTATTTATTTACTCTTGAGAGAGGCAGAGGGAAAAGCAGGTTTTCTGTGAGGAGCCCGATATGGAACTCTAACCCAGAAATCTGGGATTACATCCTGAGCCAAAGGCAGATGCTCATCCACTGAGCTTCCCAGGTGCCCTGCAGATTAACCACTTCTGATGCATATTTCTTCCTTCAGGTCTTTGCAAAGGAAGGGAACGTGCCCAATATTATCATCGCTGTAAGTACCCGCTTGGGGCCCTGTTGGTGATCTTAGAGTTTCACTTTCCCTCCAAGAGCTTAAGTGCACAGAGCTTCCTCGTCAGAGAGGCCCCTGGCCCCCAGAGCCCTTGCCATTCCCCTTGGCAGAGGGAAGCATTGTGCTCTGTTGGATCGGGAGGCCTATGGGTTGGTGTCTGTGTGGATTTGGAGTGTGCTGTGGGTCGGGGTGGAGGTTCGAAGGGAAGGTGAACACCAACAGATTGGGGAGCAGTAACTTGGGAGCTAAGGCGAGCTAAGGCAAGCTCATTCTGCTGGCCTGTAGCCCTTTTGATCTCCTCCCTAGGGCCCCCCGGGGACCGGCAAAACTACCAGCATCCTGTGTTTGGCCCGTGCCCTGTTGGGCCCAGCGCTCAAGGATGCTGTTTTGGAGCTCAATGCCTCAAATGACAGGTACGCCCAGGAGTTAGGGCTGCATGAAGGGTGGCAAGCGTTTGAAGTCTTGAGTTGTCATAGAAACCACCTTTTCCTTGGGGTTTACTTCCCAGCTTTGTATTTTCCTTTGATCCTTCCCTGTGAACAAGAATGGCCATCACTTGCCTATCCACGTGGCATCCTGAGGACTGTTACTGGTTTACTTTATTTTTTAATGAAGTTTTTTTGTTTTTTAAGATTTACTTATTTATTTGAGAGAAAGTGTGTACGTATACACCTGTGGGAGTCAGGCGAAGGGAGAGGGAATCTCAAGGTGACTTCCCATCAAGCACGGAGGGCAATTTGGGGCTCAATCCCATAGCCTAAGTGGAAAGCAAGAGTCGGATGCTTACTGACTATACCACCCAGGTGCTCCTTTAATGAAAGTTTTAAAAATTATTTTTAATTGGAGTAAAATACACATTCAATTAAATGTCAGCATTTTTTAAAAAATATTTTATTTATTTATTCATGAGAGACGGGGGCGGGGGGCAGAGGGAGAAGCAGGCTCCATGCAGGGAGCCCAGTGTGGGACTTGAACCTTTGTTCTCCAGGATCCCACCCTGGGCTGAAGGTGGCGCTAAACCGCTGGGCCACCCAGGCTGCCCAAATGTCAGCATTTTTAAATGCCCAGTTCAGCAGTGTTGCATACTTTCACACTGTTGTGCAACCATCTCCAGAACTCATTCCATTTGCAGAACTGAAACTGTATATCCATGAAACAAATAACTTTCTGTTTCCCCCTCTCTCTAGCCCCAGCAACCACCATTCTTGTTTCTGTTTCTATGAACTTAACTCTTTTAGGGACTTCATCTAAGTGGAATCATACAGTATTTGTCTTTTTGTAACTGGCCTACTTCACTCTGCATAATGCCCTCAAGGTTCTTCATGATGGAGCAGGTGTCAGAATACCCTTCCTTTTTGGAGCACCTGGGTGGCTCAGTTGGTTAAATGTCTACCTTTGGCTCAGGTCATGATCTCAGAGTCCTGGGATTGAGCCCCACATCAGGCTCCCTGCTCAGTGGAGAGCCTGCTTCTCCCTCTCCCTTTCCCCACCCTCCCCCAGTTCATGCTCACTCGCTTTCAAATAAATAAAATCTTAAAAAAAAAAAAAAGAATTCCCTTCTTTTTTAAGGCTGACTAGTATCCCACTGTGTAGAGAGACCACCACATTTTGCTTATCTGTTCATGTGTTTTGGACACTGTGTTGCTTTCATCTTTTGGCTGCTGTGAATAGTGAATAATGCTCACATGAACAGGGGTATACAGACAGGTCTGTGAGACCCTGCCGTCATATATCTCAGACACATACTCAGGAAGGGGACTGCTGAGTTATTTTTGGCAATTCTGTTTCATTTTCTGTGGAAGTGCCACACTGTTTTCTTTGGCGGCTGTGCCATTTGCCATGCACCCTGACAATATGTGATTTCCCCACATCTGCACCAACATTTGTTTTCTGTTGTTGCTGGTGGTGGTGGTCATTCTGATGGGCGTGAGATGCTGTTCACTCTTCAGATAAAAACCAGTAGAGGGGGCAGCCCCGGTGGCCCAGCAGTTTAGTGGCGCCGTTAGCCCAGGACGTGATCCTGGAGACCCGAGATCAAGTCTCACGTCGGGCTCCCTGCATGGAGCCTGCTTCTCCCTCTGCTTGTGTCTCTGCCCCCCTCCTCTCTGTGTCTCTCATGAATAAATAAATAAAATCTTAACAAAAAAAAAAAAAACAGTAGAGGATTAGAAAACAAGGAACTGTTGAATAAAATGTCTGCAATCTGCCTTTGATTATTCCTTGAGGATGTGGCTCTCAGTGCTTTAATCTCTTCCGTTTTTTTTTTTCTTTAAAGATTTATTTATTTATTCATGAGAGACACAGAGAGAGGCAGAGACACAGGCAGAGGGAGAAGCAAGCTCCCTGCGGGAGCCTGATGTGGGACTTGATCCTGGGACTCCAGGATCATGCCCTGAGCCGAAGGCAGATGCTAACCACTGGGCTCCCAGATGTCCCAAGAGTCAAAGTTCTTAACTGACTGAGCCACCGAAGTGCCCCCAAACTCACTACTTCTAAGAACCAGTGGCTCATAATTTTGAGAGAATGGCCCATAATGGTAAAATAGTTCCAACTTAATTTGATGAACACCCATTATAATGATCAATACAATAATTTTGTTTTTCCATCTCTTTACTTCCAATCCCATTTGTATACGTACCTGCCTTTAGCTTTTGATCACTGCCAGCTACCCTGTAAATGTTTGTGGGCAAGCAAGCATCTTAAAAGATGAGAGAATAGTCACATGTATTAGCAAAACAGGATGGTCCACGTTCATGTCAGAAGGTATATTGGGGGGATCCCTGGGTGGCACAGCGGTTTGGCGCCTGCCTTTGGCCCAGGGCGGGATCCTGGAGACCCGGATCGAATCCCACGTTGGGCTCCCGGTGCATGGAGCCTGCTTCTCCCTCTGCCTGTGTCTCTGCCTCTCTCTCTCTCTGTGTATGACTATCATAAATAAATAAAAATTAAAAAAAAAAAAAGAAGATATATTGGGGAATGAAGTCCTTCCTGTTGAGTGACTAACTGGATGAAAACGTATTTATTCTTTGTCCTTAGATCTGTCTTATTCACTTCTTGATGCTAAAGTTTGAGAAAATTCACCTGTGATTTTGGCATTGGAGAAGCACATAGTCTGAGGCTGACTGTGGTCAGTTTCACTGTCCTTGTTAGCGTCCAGAGTGCTGCTCTTTGTCTCTCTGTGGTTATTTTTTGATGTGTCCAATAATGTGGAATGTTCTCTGTCATTTGTTTCCATCTTTTGTGGGTGGAAAATGAAAAAGTTTTGAGTTTTCAGCTGCGGTTAGTGAATGCTTTAAAAAATAACAAAGATGGTGTATTTGAACTTCTTTTATGTCTTCTAGAAAGAGAATGCAGACCCCTAGTGACACAAAACATTGGAGGATGGGGCAGTAGGGACAGTTTTCCCTCTACCACAACCATCCTAGGCAAGTGCGGCAATGTTGTGTATTCTTATGACTTTCATCTTATTTTTTTAGCATAGTTGTGAATAATTGATAAGGAAGTGATAAGAAACAAGGAAATAGTCACTAGGATGATGACATTGCTATTTTGTTTCAAGATACAGGAAGAATAAGGTCACTGAGACCCTGCGATATATCTCAGAAAGGGATCTGGTGAACTTTCATGCTATCAGAAGGAATAAGTAAATTTTATCTTTGTGTTTTGGAAGACCTCCAAGAAGGAATAAAAGTAATGAAATGTTAATCCTTATTTTTTTTTTAAAGATTTTATTTATTTATTCATGAGAGACACACAGACAGAGAGAGAGGCAGAGACACAGGCAGAAGGAGAATCAGGCTCCACGCAGGGAGCCTGATGTGGGACTCGATCCCGGGTCTTCAGGATCATACCCTGGGCCAAAGGCAGGCACTAAACCGCTGAGCCACCCAGGGATCCCTGAAACGTTAATCCTTATAAACAGTGAGAGTTGCCCACAAAACTTAAACACTAAAATTGTGTCTATGGTGGTGTCCTGGGGGTGAGAAGACCCCCTGAAGGAACCTGTATCTGTCTCAGAAGGTGACCATACAATTATGCCTTGTTGTTTCAGGGGCATCGATGTTGTGAGGAACAAAATCAAGATGTTTGCCCAGCAGAAAGTCACCCTTCCCAAAGGGCGGCACAAGATCATCATCCTGGACGAGGCAGACAGGTAGAGTGCTTTGCCAAGTACATACTGACCTTTATTTCTGTCTCTTATCAGGCTTTATTAAAGCAGGAGGGAAAAGCTCTCTCACCTTTGCACTTTGGTGGCAGACTGGCTTATCACATCTTCAAAAAGCAATTTAACAGCACCTGAGCCTTAAACCTTATCTTTACCGAGTAATTTACAAGCATTTGTCTAAGATAACTGACAATGTTGGTTACTGTGTCTATTCCAGTATTGTGTGAATAATTTCAATTATATATATTTTTTACTCTGGCAAAATACGCATGACATGAAATTTACCATCTTAACCCATTTTTTTTTTTAAGATTTTATTTATTTATTCATGAGAGACCAGAGAGAGAGAGAGAGAGGTAGAGGCAGTGACACAGGCAGAGGCAGAAGCAGGCTCCATGCAAGGAGCCCGATGTGGGACTCGATCCTGGGTCTCCAGGATTACACCCTGGGCTGAAGGCGGCACCAAACCGCTGAGCCACCAGGGCTGCCCTTAACCCATTTTTTAAAAAAGATTTTATTTTTTTGAGAGAGAGAATGTGTACAAGTGTGGGGAGGGGCAGAGGAAGAGCAGACTCCCTACTGAGCAGGGACCTGGACATGGGGCTTGATCCCAGGATCCTGATTACCTGAGCCAAAGGCTGACGCTTAACTGACTGTGCCACCCAGGCGCACTCCTCAACCCCCATTTTAACCATTTTAAAGTGTATAGTTCAGGGGCACCCGGGTGGCACAGAACTGGTTAAGCATCCGACTCTTGATTTCTGCTCAGGAAATGATCTCAGGGTTGTGAGATCGAGCCCCCCATCAGGCTCCAAGCTTCACACTGGGAGTGGAGCCTGCTTAAGACTCTCCCTCTGCCCCTGCCCCGAGTCGTGCTAGCTCTCTCTAAATAACAAAGTGTTCAGTTTGGTGGTATTTAGTACATCCACAATGTTGTACAACCATCACTGGTATAAATGAGAAGTTTGAGATGATGTTAAATGAAGAAAATACAGGGATGCCTGGGTGGCTTGGGACACCTGGGTGGCTGAGTGGTTGAGCATCCGCCTTCGGCCCAGGGCATGATCCTGAGGTCCTGGGGTTGAGTCCCACATCAGCTCCCTGCGAGGAGCCTGCTTCTCCCTCTGCCTGTGTGTCTCTGCCTCTCACTCTGTGTGTGTGTCTCATGAATGAATGAATGAACAAATGAATAAATAGATAGATATCTTAAAAAAAAGAAAACACAAAATTTTGTTCATATCTTGGTTTAGTCTCCTTGTTTTTTACACTTTGCATTTTCATATACTTGAGATCATAACATAATTTTTGTATCCTTATTTTTTTTCTTTTCTTTCTTTTTTTTTTTTTTTTAAAGATTTATTTATTTATTTATTCAGAGAGAGCAAGACAGAGGCAGAGACACAGGCAGAGGGGGAAGCAGGCTCCATGCAGGAAGCCCGACGCGGGACTCGATCCTGGGTCTCCAGGATCACACCCCAGGCTACAGGTGGCGCTAAACCGCTGCGCCACCTGGGCTGCCCCTTATTTTTTCTTTTAATGTAAAAAAGCATTCCATGTTACTATAGTCTTGTTGCAAACATAGTCTTTAATTGCTATATTATATTTTATAGTGTGGATGCCCACTAACCACTATGGGCATCCGTATGCCCACTGTGTTTTACTGGAACATAATAGTGATGTTGCAGCTAACATTTATGGAGTGTTTCTTTCTTTCCTAGATTTTTACTTATTTGTTTTAGAGAGAGAGAATGCACATGCACAAGTTGGGGGAGAGGCAGAGGGAGAGGGAGAGGGAGAATCTCAAGCAGACTCTGTGCTGAGCCTGACGCTTGGAGATCATGATGTGAGCTGAAAGCAAGTCAGATGCTTAACTGACTGAGCCACCCAGGCATCCCTATGCTGTACCTCTCATACCTGTAACTTATTGATTCCAAAGCTAGAAGCCTCTATTTCCCACTCCCCTTTACCCATTTTGCCATCTACACCCCGCCCACCCTCCACACCTCCAAGCTCAGATAGTTTCCTGAGATCTCACAAGTTGAGTTTCTGTGAGACGAACCAGGGCAGCCTGACTGCAGGGCCTCTGTCCTCTGCTCCACCTGCATGCAGCCTGCCTGTGGAAGACCCACCTGGGGTCCTGGAGAGCAGCTAAGCATGCTCAGTCTGGACTTCAGGGTGCCCAGGCTCTCTAGGGAGGGATTTGTTTCCAGTGTACCCTGTGCCCCAGATGCAAAATGCCCCCCTGTTGTTTTCTTCTCAGCATGACTGATGGAGCCCAGCAAGCCTTGAGGAGAACCATGGAAATCTACTCCAAAACGACTCGCTTTGCTCTTGCTTGTAATGCTTCGGATAAAATCATAGGTAAGGGTCACCTCTGGGTGGCTTGGGGTCCCCTCATGGTGCTCACATGGGCCCTTTGGCAACAGAAGAGTAGGGGCTTTTTCTTTTTTTTTGAGTAAGGGCTTTTTGATTGCCTCCCATGGGCTGAGCACTACAGAATCAACTCTTTCATTTAATCTTATATTATTCTACATGAAGGTGGTTACTGGCTCCACATTCAAGATGAGAAAACTGGAGCCCAGAGAGGTTGAGTAGTTTGCCCATAGTCACACAGCAAGTGGAAGGGCTGGGCCTGGAACCCCAGATCTGTCTGACTCTTGCACCATCACAGGCACACGTGACATTTCGATATCCTGTCATGGTCACTTGCTCCAGACGTGCTCTTGCACTTCCGGTGTGTTCTGAGCACTTAGCACACACTCCCATCAGCACATGGTGTGTTGTCATCACCAGGGACTGCCTCACCAGTGAAGGTTTCGCCATCAATCTGCTCTGACCTGGCTCCTGTCCCTCCCTTCCTGGAAGTCTCTCTGCTTCCTCACCCATTTGTCCCCCTCCCGTCTCAGCTTCCTGCTGGTTGCACTTTCTTCCCTTTGTGATACGCACTGCGAACCCAGTCTGCTTTATTTCCCTCAACATTTCTCACCGCTCTCTCACATCACCCCGCCCTGCTAAAGCTCAGCCCCCGGACTTACCCTTCACCCAGGCCACCGCACAGCTGCAGTTAAGCCTGTGGCTAGCCATGCGACACTGCACGGTCCTGGTTCCCAGCCTCAGCAGGCTTGCCATGTTACCAGGATTCCTTTGGTGTCCTTCTACCTGCGTCAGATGCTCATCATCTCTTCATTAACCTGTTCAGTCATCATTGAGCAAACATTTAGTCTGTTCTGTATGGTGCTAGTGGGGAACATACAGCGTTGAAGGAGAACATGCTCGACCCTCAGGATACCACCAGGGTGGTAACAACTCTGAGGCCAGGAGTAGCATCATATTTAGAGACCTCCCCAAATGCATTTCGCATAGGGCTGTGCATCCACAAGTTTGGTTACTGATTTGACACTGCCTACTGTTGTGGGCAGAGAAAGCCCTGGCCCTCCCTTGTCAATTTTGCTGATACAAACAGCATCCTGACTTTTTTTTTTAATTAATTTTTTTAAATTTTACTTATTTATTCATAAGAGATAGAGAGATTGGCAGAAACACAGGCAGAGAGAGAGGCAGGCTCCATGCAGGGAGCTGATGTGGGACTCGATCCCAGGACTCCAGGATCACACCCTGGGCTGAAGGCAAGTGCTAAATCACTGAGCCACCCAGATGTCCCGTTTTTTTTTTTTAATTTCTAAACAGATACAATAGATATATGAATGAAATCACTGGAGAAATTTATTTCTGAGTAATCTCTACACCCAGCATGGCTCAAACTCACAGCCTTGAGATCAAGAGTCACATGCTCTCATGACCGAGCCAGCCAAGTGCCCTGCTGCAGAGTTGATTTTTCTTTCTTTCTTTTTTTTAGATTTAACTAACTAATTAATTAATTAATTAATGAGAGTGAGACAGCATGAGCCGGGAGGGGAGGGAGGCAGAGGGAAAGGGAGAAGTAGACCCCCACTGAGCAGGGAGCTGGATGCAGGGCTTGATCCCAGGACCCCAGGATCATGACCTGAGCTGAAGGCAGATACCCAACTGACTGAGCCACCCAGGTGCTCCCAGAGTTGATTTTTTAACTCAAACATCAGTTTGGGTCCTGGACTCATTTCAGTGAAAAGAGAGACACTCTTGTTCTGAGGAAGGCCATGCTGCTTTATTCTGATATGCATTTAAATTCTGTGAAATAAATAAATAAATAAATAAATAAATAAATAAATAAATAAATTCATTCATTCATTCATTCATTCATTCATTCAGTGAACTCTGGGGCGCCTGACTGGGTCAGTCAGAAGAGCATGTGGCTCTTGATCTTGGAGTGGTGAGTTCAGACCCCACCTTGGGTATAGGGACTACTTAAAAAATAATAAATTCTGTGAACTCAGCTTTTGACGCTCCTCACGAGAGAAAAATGCGCTAAAGGATGCTTCTACTTTATCTGAAATATTAATTGCTTTTAAATACAAACTGATCACTCTTCCTCTTATCTGAGCTGATAAGCCAAATATGTAATTATGGTTCCTCAGTAGAGGTTCCTGATTTCAGGTAAATTGAAATGGGCTAACTCTCAGGACTCTCAGGTTTCTTTAATGCACATAAACTTACAGGAGTGCATTCCTTGAAAGCCTGTGTGAGCACAAAGGATGGAACACAGAGAGACCACATGGGGCCTGAGAGATTCTGGAGAAGCTGTTGTCATAGTCTAAAGTGAGGGACAGGGGCAGCTTCCAGAATTCTGCATCTGCCTCTCTAGTGGTTCTCTGCCCTTGACTGTAGCCTTACAGAAACCACCCACATGTCCCATGTTCATCCTGGTCCCGCTGGGTATTGACACCCAGCCTACACAGTGAGCAGAAGCCTAGCCTTAACTCAGCTGTGGGCTGTGGCATGTGTCTCTATCCTGGAGGGTCTCTTCCCCTTCTGGAAGCTGTGTCTAGCCAAGGCCATCTGGGGCAGTGCTAGGCGGGGCCTCTTGTTTCTGCTTTGAAACCAGCCTTGAGCACCCACTGGGGAGGGAGCGTGGGGCCAGCATGTCCTGTGCCCCAGCTTCCTAGCACTGGACTGCCAAAGGGGTCCTGGAGGGCTCTTGGGGATGTGCTGGCCTCTGGGGACCCCCACCCTTGTGTCTCCATCAGAGCCCATTCAGTCCCGCTGCGCAGTCCTCCGCTACACGAAATTGAGTGACGCCCAGGTTCTCGCCCGGCTGCTGACTGTCCTGGAGCAGGAAAAGGTGCCCTACACCGATGATGGCCTGGAGGCCGTCATCTTCACGGCGCAAGGAGACATGCGGCAGGTGCATACCCCCTAGTCCACAGGCACCCGGTTCTAGGGGGCAGTGGGGCATGGTCCTGGTGCAGAGACCAGAGACCCTGCTCACTGGGGACTTGGGAGGAGGAGGAGGCTCTACTCGGATTCCAGGGGTGAGGGGAGGCCAGGACTGAACATAGCCTCCAAAGCACGCTTGCTCGTCCACAGGCACTCAACAACGTGCAGTCGACTTTCTCAGGATTCGGCTTTATTAACAGCGAGAACGTGTTCAAGGTACAGGAGCCCATGGGCCCCAGGTGGTTCTGCGAAGCAGGGTTAGTGATGGTCGGTGGGCAGCACTGGGAACCCCTGGACAGACCTGCAGCTGTGCTGGGACCCTTGTGTGCCCTGTGCAGTCAGGAGGGTCTCGGGAGCGGCCCCCCACCCCGATATTCTCTGATCTGGTGGCCAAGGACACAACACCCCACTGCCCCACCCCCCACCCCGAGATTGTCCTGCTGCTGGAGAGGGTGCAAGGCTCCTGTTGCCCGAGGGACAGAGATTCTCACTTTCCCCACATTGGCCAAGGGTTATTCTCCAGGGAATACCGTGGACAACTGGCTGCCCCATCCTAACAACTTGGCTATTTTGGAGATCAGTTAGTTCCCCCCCGCCTTTTTTTTTTTTTTAAAGATTTTATTTATTTATTTATGAGAGACACAGAGAGAGAGAGAGAGGCAGAGACATAGGCACAGGGAGAACCAGCTTCCACCTAGGGAGCCTAACATGGGACTTGATCCCGGGTCTCCAGGATCATGCCCTGGGCCAAAGGCAGGTGCCAAACTGCTGAGCCACCCAGGTGTCCCAGTTTCCCCCTTTGAGAGTAAAGACTAGGTAGGGCTGTCCACACATTCAGACCCTATCTGTTTCTTAGCCAGTTTGTGGGTAATGAGAGCGGTGTTGTGGGGATCCCTGCGTTTGGCCCGGGTCGTGGTCCTGGAGACCCGGGATTGAGTCCCACGTCGGGCTCCCTGCATGGAACCTGCTTCTCCCTCTACCTGTGTCTCTGCCTCTCTCTCTCTCTCTCTCTCTCTCTCTCTCTCTCTCTCGTCTCTCATGAATAAATAAATAAAATATTTAAAAAAATAAATAAAAGTAAATGAGACGGGGTGCCTGAGTGGCTCAGTCAGTAGAATGCTGACTCTTGATTTTAGGTCTTGATCTCAGGGTTGTGAGTTCAAGCTCAGCATGGAGACTACTTTAAAAAAAAAGAAGAGGAAGAAGTTTTATTTTTATTTTTTTAAAAAAATTTTATTTATTTATTCATGAGAGATCCAGAGAGAGGCAGAGACACAGGCAGAGGGAGAAGCAGGTTCCACGCAGGAAGTCCGATGTGGGACTCAATCCCGGTTCATGCCCTGAGTTGAAGGCAGATGCCCAACCACTGAGCCACCCAGGGGTCCCAAGAGGAAGAAGTTTTCAATGTGGGTCCTGAGGTAGAGGGCGGAGCGTGGACTCCAGGCCAGTGGAGGGAGGGGCAGGGGGCAGCTCAGGCTCAGGGATACCTGCACACCCCCAGGATCCTCTTCACCCTGACATGCTGAGGTGGAGGACCATTGTCCCTAGAAGAATAGTTTCTATTCCAGGTGGGAGGCTGGTCCCAGTCTTCAGTGGATTCTGAGTGGTTCTGGGTGCACCATCCTCCAAGTGACCTAATAAGGTGTGTAGCTAATGGCTCTTAATAAGGCAAAGGATTCCTGTTGGCCCTGTTCACTCCCCTTGTGCTTGGGAAATCTGTAACCACGGTGTTAGAACTTCCCCCACATACACAGCCCCCAGAGTGAGGAAGGTGATGCCATACTCTGGTGACTCAGTTGGTGGTGACTGGGGCGTTTCCAAACCTGGTTCTGTTTGCTGGAGAATTTGATGAGAAAAGCCCGCTGAGAAGTTGGGTACTTGGGTGTATCGGGGCTCCTCCTCAGGTGGGTCCCCGCAGCCCCTCACTGGCCTTCTTTTCCCATTTGCTCAGGTCTGCGATGAGCCCCACCCCCTGCTGGTAAAAGAAATGATCCAGCACTGCGTGAACGCCAACATCGATGAAGCCTACAAGGTTTGCGTCCCTCCTCCCCTGACTCGGGAGGAGCCTTTGCTTCTGTAGCAGAGCAGCAGGAGCCTGTCTCTGTGCTGGGGCTTCCCTCACAAGGGTTCCTCCACTGGATTCTTAGAATGATACTAGCAGTTGGGTGCATTCCGGGTGGGGGGAAGCTGATTCTGGGAAGCCGGATTCCTCACTCTAAATCACACTATTGGCAAGCACTCAACCTGCAATTCAGAGTCACATCACTGTCCTATAATTATATCCTCCACAAGGGAGCTCTGTCCCCCCAAGACCTGAGGAAAGACCAGCCCAACTCCTTACGTTTCTGAGACACAGTCTGTCTGCCTGCTGAGGGAGACTTCGCCCTCCGTCCCCCTGAGGAATGTGGGAATGGCTTTCTGGGACACAGGGGTGCCTGGTCATCCAGGAGAGGCAGGACCCAGGGCTTCCAGCCTCCATCCAGAGAGCCAGACACCATGTGCAGATCACAGGGGCCATCATCACAGTCCAGATGACCCTCAGGTCCACAAGGGTGGCAATGGTGTGATTTAAGGCCATTGGTCTGATCCCAGCAGGTTTTCCTCCCCCCTGCTCCCGCCAAACTAGACCAGAAGTGGACTGGATTTAGGGCAGGATGAGATGTAATGAGATACCAAGGGGTAGGGCAAGGAGCCCAAGGCAGAGACCCAGGCACCTGGCCCGAGGGCAGCCTTCAGATTTATGAACACAGCTTCCATGCCCCCGGCATCTGCCCCGAGATGCCAGAGCAGAGGTGATACCCTGCAGTCTGAGTGGGCTGGGTGGGGTTGGAACTGGGGCAAATCAGGCGGGGGCTGAGAGGACTCCGCTCCAGCCCCAGTGAAGATTTGGTGGAGGCTAAGCCTGCAGCGGGTGTGCCTCGTGCTTGGCAGCTCAGAGAGCACAGCAGACACATGGTCTCCCTCTTTCCTCATACTCACTGGGATGATTAATACAGCTTTTTAGGAGCCTTGGATTAAGACGCCACGTGGGTGCCGTAGTAGACCATGCAATACATTTTAAAGATCTTATTTTATTTTTTATGAGAGAGAGAGAGAGAGAGGATGTGAGTGAGCAGGGGGAGGGGCAGAGGGAGAGGGACAAGCAGACTCTGTGCTGAGCTTGGAGCCTGACACAGGGCTTGGTCCCATGGCCCTGAGGTCAGGACCTGACCTGAAACCAAGAGTCAGATGCTTAACCTACTGAGCCTCCACAGGCGCCAAGCAATACCAAGCAATAAATTCTGAAACATTTGTGACATTGGGGCGCAGTCTATTGACCGCCTCAGTCGGTAGCACATGTGACTCTTAATCTCAGGATCCTGAGTTCAAGCCCACTGTTAAAAAAATTGAATAAGTAAAAAATAAGACATTTGCAATCCTATCTCTACCTGTTGGGAAACTCCAGTGACCCCCAGGAGGTCTGCAGGCCGTGGCCCCCCAGCAGCTCCATCAGCTGGCCGGGTTAAGGGGCACCTGGGTGGCTCAGTGGTTGAACCTCTGCCTTTGGCTCAGGTCCTGATCCTGGAGTTCTGGATCAAGTCCCACAGTGGGCTCCTCACAGGAAGCCTGCTTCTCCCTCTATGTCTCTGCCTCTCTGTGTCTCTCATGAATGAATAATAGAATATTAAAAAAAAAGAAGAAAGAAAGAAAGAAAGAAAGAAAGAAAGAAAGAAAGAAAGAAAGAAAGAAAGAAAGAAAGAAAGAAAGAAAAAAAGATGGCCGGGTTGCTGAGGTTGGTGTCCTCTCCCTGCCATGGGATAGGCCCAAGACTGATGTGGCTTCAACGTCGTGTGTCCCTCTGCACCACCACCCCCTTACCCTTTGTCACCCAGCGGATCTTCTCTATCTAGATTCTTGCTCACCTGTGGCATCTGGGCTATTCGCCAGAAGACATCATTGGCAACATTTTTCGAGTGTGTAAGACCTTCCAAATGGCAGAGTACTTGAAACTGGAGTTTATCAAGGTCAGTGAGAGGACAGCAGTGGCTCTTCTGGGGAAGGTGGGCCACGCTGTGCTCTGTTCTGTTTGTGCACAGGCCTGGCCTCTGGACGATGCTCAGTGAGCGTCCCAACCACAGCAGAGGCAGGCAGCTCATGCCTGGGACTGGGAGTTGCTTTAAGCCTGATGTACCAGTCAGTGGCCTTGGGTTTCTTAAAGGGGCTCTCTTCATTCAAGATCAATCTGTTTACCCTCAGTTAATTGAGGCATCATTTGCATAGATTAAAATACAGCCTCTCTGGTGCCTTCTGTTGACCAGAGTTCTATCATTTAAAGGCCACAACCTAGGTCTGAACAGTTGTTTATAATTCCTCCTTCAGATACACGTGCCCGTTTGTAGGCAGTCAGCTCCTCCCCTAGCAGCTGGGAACCCCCGCTCTGTTTTCTCTTTGGGGGAATGGAATTTTTCAGAATGTTATATGGAAATGACCATGGAATCCAGTAGAAGGTAGCCTTTTGAGTCTGGCTTCTTCCACTTAGCTTAATGCACTTCGGGTTTGTTCATGTTGCATCTGTCAGTGGTCTTGTTGCTGAGCAGTGTACCACAGTGTGTGTTCACCGCTTGAAGGACACCAGGGTGTGTGGGTTCCGGTGACCATCAGTAAGGCCACTGTAAACATTTGCAATTGTGAATTACTGTGCAGGTGAACATGAGTTTTTATTTTTCTTAGGAAACTTCCCAGGAGGTGGGATTGCTTGTTCTGATGGTCAGGGTACGTTTAACTTTATAAGAAACTGCCAAACTGATTTCGAAAGTGGTTGTAGTATTTTGCATTTCTCCCAGCAGCCTATGAGCACTTCAGATGATCCACAGCCTATACAGCCCTTGGAATGTTCGGTTGATTCTTTTTTTTTAAGATTTTATTTTAGAGAGAGAGTAGGGCTGGGGCCATGGGGCAGAGGGAGAGAGAGTCTCAAGTAGACTCTGCATGAGCACAGAGCCTGACTCAGGGCTTGATCTCAGGACCCAGAGACCCAAGCGGAAACCAAGAGTTGGATGCTCAACAAACTAAACCAAGCAGGTGCTGGTTGATTCTCTTAAAGCCACTCTAATCTCTAATAGGTGTGTCATAGTATCTCAACATGACTTTAACGTGCATCTTCCACTAACTGACGGCGTTGAGCACATTTGCGTGTGCTGATCTGCCATCTGTAATCTCTAACAAAGCATCTGTTCAAATCTACCGATTTCTTGATTGGGTCATTTTCTTGGTATTGAGGTCTGAGACTTATTTATGTACTCTGCCTTCAAGTCCTTTATCAGATATGTGTTTTATTTTATTTTTTTAAAATATTTTATTCATTTATTCATAAGAGACACACAGAGAGAGAGAGAGGCAGAGACACAGGCAGAAGGAGAAGCAGGCTCCATGCAGAGAGCCCGATGTGGGACTCGATCCTGGGTCTCCAGGATCACACCCTGGGCTGCAGGCGGCGCTAAACCGCTGCGCCACCGGGGCTGCCCAGATATGTGTTTTATAAGTATTTTAATATTTTCTCCAAGTCTGGCTTTTTTTTTTTCTTTTTCTTTCTTTTGGTATTTTCTAAACAATACCTTAGAGGGAAATATTAACATCCTTTTAGAAAAAAATAAAGTGAACTTTAAGCATAACTCATGACACTTCAAGTTCATGTTCCAGCTGAAGTTTGATTCATTGCATCAATTTTAAGTAAACTATTGAAAAAAAACATCAAGCCCTCCCTCTTTTATTAACCAGATTTACATTTGCTTTTGTTTTTTCAGGAAATTGGATACACTCATATGAAAATAGCAGAAGGTGTGAACTCCCTCCTGCAGATGGCAGGGCTCCTGGCCAGGCTGTGTCAGAAGACAATGGCCCCGGTGGCCAGTTAGGGCGGAGAACTGGTTGATCGGAGTGATGAGAGTCCTGAGAGTCCTCATCAGGGAGAGATAGGAGTCCACGTCTTCTGATTTGGCACCTTCCTTTTACACGATCGTGGCCATCACACTGCTTCCATGAGTGCCTGCAGTCAATCTCAGACTCACGGGTGTGATGACAGGGTGGAGAGGCCCTAGAGAACCTCCAGGGCTTGGCACTCAATCTGGGCATGTGTGGCATCTTAACTAATAAAAGAGCTGGACAGTTTTGTTGGCACTAAAGTGGCATCGCCAGGTGGCAAGGAAAACCAGCATTCTGTCTCTGAGTGCCCCAAGCATCCTATCAGTAGAATAGGTGATTTAGATAATAGACTGATCAAGCTAATCTCAGTTCTTTTAGAAGCTGGGACGGCAGTCCCTGGGGTCAGGGGCAGAGATAGACATCTCAGAGGAGCCTGGGACAGTGAGTCCTTCAGAGAGGACGTGCGGGAATCCCAAGGGCTAGTGGTGTAGTACAGATGCTTGGGAAAACTGCCAGCTGGCCTTTTCTGTGCAATCGTGTGCACATGGTGCTTTGGAATTTCCCAGTGAACTTTGTTTTACTTTGTATGATTGTTCCTGCCAGACAGGTACTGTTTTTTTTCCTAATTTTTTTAAATTATAAAAAGTGGAAAGAATGGGGGCACCTAGGTGGTACAGTTGGTTGAGCATCCAACTCTTGATTTCAGCTCAGGATATGATCTCAGAGTAGGGGGATCAAGCCCTGAGTCAAGCTCTGCACTCAGTGCAGAGTCCACTTGAGATTCTCTCTCCCTCTCCCTGTCGTGCTCGCTTGCTCTCTGAAATTAGTAAATCTTAAAAAAAAAAAAAAAAAAGGTAGAAAAAATGATACAGTGAACTTTCTGAATCTACACCCACCTTCACAGCTTTAGCAACACCTGGCCATTCTTGGGTCTGGTGTGTTCCCTACCACTCTACCCCATCCCAGGTTGCTCTGAAGCAGATCCCTGATGTTAGGTTACAGTGGTGTTTTTACAGGGGTTGGGGGTGACTCCACTTCTGTGATTGGTGGCCTCCTGTCTAGAAGCAGTTGTGTGCCATGCTGGTTCCTGCCCTCTCAGCTCTTGCAGGAAGGGCCACAGCAAGGTGCTGTGTGTGTCCTCACCACAGATTTGCATATGGTTCTGGAATAGCCAGGCAAGCCCATGTGCTTTTCTCTCCTTAAATCCTCTCCCAGCCCAAGGTTGGCCACAGGGCTCAAGAGCTCCAGCCTGAAGCTCTAGAGCTGTAGGAAGCAGAGAGGGGCAGGGCCTGCTGGCCTCCCACTCTGCCATCCTTCCCAGGCTGGCTCTGTCCTCTGCCCAGGCCACAAGGACACTAGACCACAGGAAAGGCTCTTTGGGTTAAGGCTTCAATGAAGAGGGGGGAAAAATAATTAAGGTCCTCAAAAACTGCAGAGTTGTGTTTTACAGTCTTTGAACGTATTTCTCTCAGTCTTATTCTTCATCTGGAGCCTTATGATCCCTGCGGTTTGCAGGGGAGGACCAGGGCCCAGAGGTGTGTGTCTGGTTCTCACACACAGTGACTGTGGAGGCAGGACTCCTGCCTGGAGCTGCCCCCACAGCCCCGCTGCGCCCCACTCTGTATCTGAGACTGTGAGATCAGTACCCCTGGGGGTGAAGTAACAAGTGGCCAGCAGTTGGCCTGCTGTTTTTCCCTCTCACTTCCTGAGGACAAGGTACTGTCCTGAGGGCATTATCTTTTGGAAAGAATCATGTAGCATCCTGGAAAGGATTAGACCCCAGGACCAGGTTCCTGTCCCCACCCCACACTCTTCATCTCTCTCTCTCTCTCTCTGCCTCAGGGTCGATTAAGCAAGAGGCTTGACTTCCACTCCCTTGGAAGGTTTTGCATGGAGCAGGGGAAGCAGACATGAAAATCTCTAGTCTTAAAATGCTTTATTGAGGTGTTTCAGTTGAAAGGAAACATCTTGTTTCTCCAGCTCTGGCTTTTCTGACCTAGAAGCTCCTTTTGGGCTCCCCCCACTTCCCATGAAGCAATTGTGTTTCTGCTTAGCCAGCTCAGCCAAGTCCAGTCCTGGGGCAGGGAAGGATTTAGGGCAACAGAGGGCCACCACTTAGCCACTCTGCTCTGCTCCTCCAGAAACATGATGCATTTTGTCCACAGCAGACGTTTCCACTGAAGAGCACGAAGATGTCTGTAGCCTCATCTCTTTCAGGTAAACTGAGGCCTGAAGAATGGAGCACCAGGGCTCCCCCCTAACTCTGCTAAAATTATGTGTAATGCTCATAGGAGGCAGGATGGTCGAGAATCTCTAGTTGGAGATGTAGATTATTAAATATGGCTCCACCTATATAAATTAACTGTACAAGTTTACGGATCAAGGAAAAGATCTCAGCAGTTGACGTTAGTAAGCAATTTGGAATCAGAATCCAGAGCAAAAAGGCACAGGAATACCAGCGACGCACAATGTTTTCAGACATGGGGTTGGGGATGCAGCCTGACATCGGGTCATAGCAGGAGCCACGTTGCCCTCAGCCTTGGGTTCCCGCAGAAGCCAGGCCAGGGGCTGGTTCCATGTGTAATGGTCCTTTCCCTGGCCAGTCTCCCCCAGCCTGGTGGACGGTCCTCCGGACATCTCCTGCATCTCCCAGGAGTAACTGGGGGGATGTAGAGGTTGGGCAGCTTGACAGAAGCGACCCTGGAGGAGGCAGTAAATAGCCTGGTGTTCCCTCGGCTCCTTGATGAAGATGAAAAGGTTTGTTAAAAGGGAAAGGGTTGCTTGGACTAGCACTTTCTTCCTTGGCACTGGGGTGGCTGGGCCAGCGTCAGAGGGTGGGGATGGTCAGCATTCAGCCTCCTTCCTGCAGCTGGGCTGGGAAGGCCGCCGCCATCTCTCTGAAATCCCTGTGCTCATTGATCCTGGCCAAGGCTGGGGTTCATCAGGACAGGAATGCCCTCTGCAGAACGGCAGGTGGCCTTCCGTGGCGCAAGTCTGGTGACCGACACCTTCCGGGCGCATCTTCTCCCTTCCCACCCAGAAGGGACCTGCTCAGCATCAGCTGTAACTCAGCCCAGCTTCCGCCTTGCCTGGCAGCCCTTCCACTTTTCTGAACCCAGGAATCAGGCCACTCCGGCCCCCAGCAGGGCCACCGCTGACACTGGCCTGTGCAGTTCAAATCCCTGAGCCTGACAGGAGCCAGGATGCGAAGGTTCCATCTAGCCACGGCTGAACCCAAGCTTGAGCCCACTGCATGGTTTCTGTCTCCAGATTGTCCAGCTGAAAAGCCTGTATAACCCCTCTAGCCCCTGCCCCATGTCTCTGCTCCATTCCAATGTGGGACTTCTGGAATGTTCTCCGCTCCCTGTCTTGAGACTCCTATATTCTGAATGCGAGCAAGCTTTCTCCCCACCAGTGCCCACCAGTGCTCGGTACATCTCCGCCTGCCTCGTGCCTACTCCCGCCCTCCTGAAGTGCTTTCCTCAGGCCCAGGACACTGCCCTTCACAGCTTCGTCCCCCAGCCTCAGGCCTGCGGGTCCCCAGAGCTCAGTGCCAGCTCCTCTTTGCCTTGTTCCCCTGAGGATTGACGGTTGTCGCTTTCAATGAGGACACCCACCTGTCTCCAGCCTGGCCTCTCCCTCGGTCCAGGCTCAGCTGTCTACCCGGCCACGAGACCTGCTCTGCCCACAGCCACTCACACCTCCGCTGGGGACAGTGACATTCTCTCGTTGCTCAGCCTAAAACCTCCAGCCCTCGGCTCCTCTCTACCTGCCCCCCCCCCCCCGCGCTGTGCATCAGTGAGTCAGTCCTGCGGGCTCAACCTTCAAAGCCCACTCCCGTTGTGGACATGACGGTTAAACACAGAACATTCCATCCCGAACACCAGAATACACATTCTTTCCAAGTGCACACGGAACATCCCTCTGAACAGACCACATGGTAGGCCACCAAACAGGCCTCAATAAACGTAAGAAGACTGAAGTCATACCCCATACATCTTTTCCGACCACAAGGGTACAAAGCTAGAAATCACAAGAAAAACGGAAAAACACAAACACGGCAAGGCTAAACAACATGATACTAAAACAACCAAAGGGTCAGTGAAGCCATCAAAGAAAAAAAAAATTTAAATACATGGAAATGGGGCGCCTGGCTGGCTCAGTCGGAGTACATGACTCTTGATCTCGGGGTCATGAATTTCAAGCCCCAGGTTGGGTGTAGAGATGACTTAAATGAACTTAGAAAAAAAAATCTAAAATTCATGTTTGTCTGCAGCCCAGGCCAAGAAGTCACCTTTCACCTGGATGCTCACTGGTCTCTGTGTCCCCTGCTGCCCCCTGAATTCATCTCCCTCCTTGGCAGCCAGAGGTCCTGTTCCTGCGCCCTCTCTCCCGTCTCAGAAAACCCAGGTGTGGCCACGTGGCTGCGCCCCCCCACCCAGAGCTGCGCCCTGCCCCTGTCAGACCCTTGTCAGACCCTCTGGGCGTGTGCTCTGCTGCCCAGCAGGGCGGGAAGGGAGCAACCACGGCTGCCCTGGCCACCCCATCCTCGAGGAACCCGGCCTCCTCTCTGAGGGTTTGTCTCCACAGGGCTTGTTACCTCCTAACATGCCGCCTGTCCTTCCGGTCGTCTCAGCCCACAGCCATGCCATCTGTGTCATCTCTCCCACCAGAGTGGAGTCCCAAACGTTCGGGGATCCAAATGGATTTTTTTCTTAAGATTTTAAAGTAATCTGTACACCCAGTGTGGGGCTCGAACTCACAACCCTGAGATCAAGAGTCACAGGCTCTGCCGATTGAGCCAGCTGGGCACCCATGGGTGGATTTTGTTTATTGCTGGGTCCCCAGTAAACACCCTGGGCAGGTGCCTGCTAGATGTCGGGGGAGTGCATGAGCAGTGGGCTGGGCACCTGGGCTCACGCTGCAGCGGCCTCTCCTGCTGTGGGGGCTCTCCCAGCCCAGGAGCCACCTGCCTGCCCTGATAGGGGCTTCAGGTGGCCTTCAAGGGCCCTCTGGGGTCAGTCCTGTCTCCCACGCAGTGGCACAGCCTGGGCTCCAGTGGCTGACTCCGAGTGGGACCCAGGGCAGGTGGCTGAGTGCTCTGCGTTTGCGGAGCTGCGAGCCAGTGTGCATGAGCATCAGTCCCACGCTCGCTGGCATGGGGTGGGGGTGGGGGGTTGCTTCACACGGTTCAGCCATGACTGTCATGAGCACCATCCTCTGTCTCCCCGTCTCACCCCTGTCCCATGTCCTTCACGTACTGAGCCCCATTTGCTCCACTTGGCAAGTGAGGCATAGTCCTGGAAGGTTAAATCACTCGCTCGAGGTTGCAGAGAGCCACCCGGAGCCCACCCGTTCTCCCCACAACTCACCAGCCTCCCCAGCCCGACACCCCCCTATAGCGGTCTGAGACCCGGGTGTCTGCCGTGGGGGGTGGGTAGGCACCCATTTCAGCACCCATAGGTGCTGCCCCTGGACCCTGTTGGGGCCCCCGCATGGCTTCTGCAGCCCTGTTCTTCCCTTGGGATAGGGCCCCTCGGGCCTGTGAGGTCCACCCCCTGGGAGACAAGCAGCTGTACCTTCCTCCCAGATCCTCCCTAGGCTTCTCTGGCTGCCACACTCTCATTCACGTAATCAGGGTCCTCGTTGTCCTCGTCCGGGCTTCCTGCCAGGGACAGAGGCGCTTCCCTCGGGACTTGCTCTGCGGACCAGCGGGCAGATGAGCAGATGTGGTCAGTCGGTTCTTGCAGACATACTCACGCCTGTTCCCCAGCCAGAGGCTCGGCCCGGGCCCCAAGACGCCACAAAACAGCCAGCAGGAAGTGCTACACAGAATGGGGTGCCGCTCCCGGCCCTGAGGTTAGCCAGAGATTTGCCCACGGGGGTGGCTGAGGTGTCCGGTCCTCACTTGGCACGAGGCTGCCGAGGCCACTGATGGGCCAGAGACTTCACTGTGAAGTCAGCTGCAAGGGCTGCAGGGGAGGCCACCCCGCCTGGCACCCCCAGGCCAGCCCCCCAACTCTCCCCCCTTCCCCGCCCCCAACTTGCCAGGCCCGGCTGCTGAAGCTGACCGGCCACGTACCCACGACCCTCCTGGACTCCCGCCACTGCCGGATGGATGCCGAGTTCTGGTAATCCTCGGATCCCTCGTCGCCTGCAGGGAGACACCAGGACAGGAGCTGGCACAGGTGGCGCCGCCACGGCCAGTCCTCAGGCCAGCAAGGCGCCCGGGCTCGGCCCCTCAGGGAAGAAGGGATCCCCTCAGAAAGCTCGGGCCCCCTCGGCCTCCTCCAGGCACTAGAGCGACGCTTTATCCAAAGGCTCTGGAGCTCACGGTGAACCTTCAGGCTTCCGGGCAGGTGGTGCCTTTGAGCCGTGAGAGCTTTGGACTCGGGGTGTAGGCGGGCCTGCCTCCCTGCTCGGCTCCCGGGGCGGCCTCACCTGACTCGGGGTCCTTCTGCTTGCAGATGAGCACGTTCTCATACGAGTTGGCATCGTCATCGTCATCTGCCAGGCAGAGGGGTGAGGGTTGCTCGTGGGCCCTGCCCGGTGGCCCAGCTCTCCCTCCCTCCCTCCCTCTGTCCTGCCTTCCCCTCAGTAGGAGATCTGTCCTGCCAAGCCCCAGCCCTCTGGGTTCCCCACGGGGCCTTCCAAACATTCTCCTGGACAAGATTCTTAGCAGATGCTGGCCTGGCTCCAGTGGCCTCCACCCTGGCCTCCTTCATTGTTTTCCAAGGTCACCCCACATGCACTGGGGAGCAGAGATTAGGGGACGGGGTTGCACAGGCAGTTGGATAGTTGGAGGGAGAGAGGCCTCTTCTTATTGGCCAACTAGGGCCAGTGAGAGCCGCTGGAGGCAGAGGAGAGCCGGGAACCAGGCCCCGGCTGCTCTGAAAGCAGCACCTTTGGGCAGGGAAGGGGGAACCGAGGCTGGATGGGCCTATGGGAGCCCGGCACCCCATATCGCCCCTGCGAGCCAAGCTCTAACCACTGCCCCACTCAGCGTCCGTCTGTGTCAAAGGGGCTCCAAGAGATGAGGGCCCTTCCCCTACTCAGGAGGGGCAGGGGGAAGAAGAGGACCCCCCCACTTCCTGCCCACCATGTGCCCAGCCCCCAGCTCAGTGTAGCCCAGGCGGGAGCCAGGGTGCAGGAGCAGACCTGAGCACCTGTCAGCAGGCCCTGCCCACCCTCAGTCCTCAGTTTCTTCTTCTGTAAAGCAAAGGTTTTAAGGGCCTAAGAAAGATCCCAGCCTCCTCAGCACCCACAGGGCTCAGCGTCTGTCAGCAAGGCTGCCGGGCCCAGGGCCTTCCTCTGAGGTCCCACATGTTCTCAGCAGTTGCTGCCCAGCCCTGACGGGGGCCTGCGTGACGAGGGGCTCAGCCTCCCCCGCTGCCCCTGGCCCCAGCTCCCCTCTGTGGCCCACCTCCCTCTCCCCTCCCTGGCCCCCACACCCCTTCCCTGCTCTGCTCCTGGGCTCCTACCCCCCTGCCAGCCTCCGCAGTTTCCCCAGCTCCCCCAGCCAACCAAACTAGGCCCAGCCAGCCTCCTCCTCCGCAGCCTCCCAACTGCCTCTGGCCTGGGGAGCATAGCTTAGGAAGCTCACCACCTCCTCCCTCTTCCCCTCCTCCTCTTCCTCCTCACCTGCCCTGGGCTTCTGGAACTGCCCCCAATTGTAGTAGTCTGTGGTGATGGGGTCTCTGGCAAGAAAGCACAGACACAGAGCACTGGCTGGACAGGCGTGTGGTTGGGGTGGGGGTATTGTGGGGGGGGGGCAGGGATGAGAGGGCTGCTCCGGCCATCACCCTCCAGGTTCTTTCCTGGTCCCTCTGCCCCTCTTCCCTGGGCCTTGGTTCACCCATCTGTGAGATGAAGAGACATCCTCGAGGCCCTTATCTCTGGGTGATGCAGGATGAGTCCCCCAGACAACCCCTCCTCAGAGCAGGGCCACATCGTCCCTGTCCCCACAAAGCCATGGTCACCTGAGGGGAAGTGATGCTACTGAGCACCTGCTTGGGCCCGTGGTTCTAGGGCAGGAAGCCTTCATGAAGGGGGAAGCCCGGCGGGGAGGGTGGGGGGAGGAGGTGGCCGCCCACAGAAGGCCACTTACATGTAGGCTGAGTCCGATCCGTGTCTGCTTCCTGCAGGAGGAGGCGAGAATTAGGCCTGAGCGCTGGGCTGTGGGCCCCACCGCAGCTCCCACCTCCCGGGATCCCACCCACCTTTCCTGAAGTTCTGGTACCTGGAAGACTCAGAATCTGGAAGAGAGGCCCGCTTGTTGCTTCCTCCCTCCCCTGCCCTCCTTCCAGCCCCAGGGAAGGGCCTTCCAGGTCCCCGGTTTCCTACCTTCCCACTTCCCACCTGCTCTCCATCCCTTCCCCTGCTAGGCCCTGCCAGGGCCTCTGGCCCAGCTCCCGCAGCACCCCCAGGCCTCCCCTGCACAGGGGAGTTCCTGTGCCATGGGGTGTTCCCCTGTCTTGGCACCCCACCCCCGTGTCTGAGGGCCACTCACCCTCCAGGCTGGGGGAGAACCGCAGCAGCTTGTCCTTCCTGCAGGAGAGGGGGATGGGAGGGGCCAAGCAAGGCCCGGTGGTGAAGAGGCTTTGGGGTTTCCGAACCACAGCCCGGTGGCCCCCTCGTGGGGCCCTCACAATCCAGCTCTGGGGCTCTGAGGTCCAAGGTGGCAGCAAGGTCTTGGCCTGAGCCTGGCCAGGGGGGGACCCCGGGGCCTTCCTTCCCAACGCCTCCCATGGGGCTGCAACCCCTCTAGGCCTGGGATGGGGGCTTATTCCTACCTTGTTGGCGCCACATGAGGGTCTTTGTCCACCAGGGGTCCTGGCCAGGCCTGCCTGACCACTGCAAAGGACAAGGGGCATTGGCTGGGCCCCAGCCAGCCTGCCAGCACAGTCCCTCACTCACCCAGATCAGGCCTGGCCACAGTCTCAGAACAATGAGGACACACATGGACACCCCCAACCCAGAGCCCAGTCTCTGGACCCTTCCGTTCAGGGACTCACAAGAATAGGTCCGGGCCACCGCAAAGTTCTGTTGGTTCTCTTCCCTGGAAAAACATGGAGCTGTGCTGAGCCAGGGCCTGGCTTTCCACAGCTCATGAGACAGAGAGATGGAGAGACAGACAGACAGGGACGAGGAACAGAGGGGAGAGGGGCCCGACCAGGGCGAGGGTGAGCAGGAGCCGCCACCTCTGGGCCTCAGAGCCAGAGCTCCCTGATGCCCCCCATTCTCAGGACTGCTCCCAGCCCTGCCCACCGGGTAGCTGCCCTTCTCACATGGCCCTGGCTGGAACCGGCTGTCCCTATGGCCTCCCCAGGAACCCTGGAGATGGTCCTGAGGGTCTGTGCACAGGGCTGGGGAGGGGGATGGCCCTCAGATTCCGAGGTGAGGGTGGGGTGGCTCTTCAGAGCCTTCAACCAGAGGGTAACTTCAACCCCCCTGGAGATGTTCGAACACAGCCTTTCCTCCCAAGTAACCGGCGAGGTAACCTCAAGGCTTAGCAGACACAGCCAGGTGCCTAGCCATGCCTGCATCCCCTTCTTCCTCTGAAACGGATTTTTATTTAGGCCCGTCTAAAAGGCTGAATTTTCCAGCCCCCCTCATGCCTAAGCATGGCTGTGTGCTGAAGTCAGTGAAATGCAAGCCCAGATTGTTGGGATTTCCAGGAAAACTGCTTTTGAGGAGGCACTGCCAACACGAGTGTGCCCTTCTCATCCTTGCCTTTCATTCTTACTGCTGCGTGGAACACAGAGATGAGGGCTGGTGCTCTAGCTGTCATTTTGGACCATGAAGTTCCCTCAAGAATGGAAGCCCCCACTAAGGATGGTAGAGTGGATTTCAGCTACACATTAAAGCCCTTTGGGTTCCTCCTCTGGACTAGAAAGGAGACCCGGCCCAGCCTTCCAGGGGCTCCCAGGGGGCTGGGAGTCAGGGTGACCTGATTTGGGAAGGATGCCCTTAATCCACAGGCAGGACTGGACCCAAGTGAAGTGGGGAGAATCCAAGTCTTCCCTCCTGCCTCCTCCCACCCAGGCCATCTCCTTCCCACCATGAGGAGGTTTCACTTCTGGCTGAAACAGCCTATGTTTCTAACACCAGTCAGAGTCCTGGAGTGGGCCAAGAGAGGAGAGAAGAGGGAGAGATACTGAGGAGGCCTGCCTCGGGGCAGGGGCGTGGGGGGCACCAGGGGAGTCCAGTCCCCTCCTCCCCGGTAGAGGCTGTGGGCTGGTGACCCAGAGCACCAAGTGGCCAAAAACCCTGGAAGAGTCCAGCCCCAGCCCCAGGGGTGGGCATGGATGCGGACATTCTGTTTTCAAATTTCATTGTGGTTTTTCAGTTGCAAAAGGAAATGAGAAAGGGTGTGTGCGCGTCTGTACGTGAGTTCCTTCCCCCTAGGCATGTACACGGCCAGAGAAGCGCATGCATGAGCAAGAGTGTGGGCACATGTGGGTGTGAATGGGCATGCCAGCCTGTGTGCGTGTGTGCACGCAGGTTCAGAGGCCCCCAGGTGCACCGTCAGTCACCTTCCTGCTCAGCCCAAGGACCCCAGTGGCCGCTGGCCTCCTGCCTGGGGTTGTCCTTGGGCCTCATCATGGTCTGCAGTGACCAGCACGACTGACTGTCCCAGGGCTCCTACACAGAGCAGCTCGCCCCCCCCAACCCCAAAATGCCTGGATCCTGTGGCTCTGCCTGGGGTCAGTGACCAACCCCCCACCCCAGCCCTGTTTCCTCTCTACTCCTACCTCCCTGCTTCCTACTGTACATAAGTCCCTGCTTCCAGCTCGTCTGTGGCTCCCCTGGACCCTCAGGACAAAGGCCCTGGCCTCTCTCCACAGTCAAGGCTCTCCTCCCTCCTCATCCAGCTCATGCCTCTTAAGATACACCCCCACGAGCCACCTCATCCCCAGAAGAAAGTGAGCACCCCAGTCCAATGTTGGCAACTCCCTGCCCTGTTCTCTCTCTGGAATCTCCTTTTGCCTCCTTTCTCTCTTGACATCCTCTCCACCTCCTCCAACAGGCCTTCTCAATCCCCCAAGGACATGCCCACATCCTCCCTGAGCTCTGTCAGCATTTTCCAGGGGAGATTTGCACACAGCTCACTCTGCTTTGTGCCCAGTGTCTGTTCCCCACATTGCCCGGACGGCGGGACTCTCCGTCTTCCCCCAGCACCGGCACTGCGGGCTCCCCCGGGCTGGGGGTAGAGGCAGTGTCTCTGGAGATGCAGGTGGGCAGGCCCCAGAGTGGCGCCTCCTCATCCCCAAGCCCTCCGGCCAGGCCCGGGCAGCACAAGGACAGCCCCAGGTGTCCCTCCCTCCCTGGACCAATTAGGACCCACTAGAGCCCGGCGTGGAGGAGATGGCAGTGCAGGGGTGAGGGGAGGGGTGTGTGGACTCGCGAGGGGATGCCCACAGCCAGGCCACACGAAGTCACTAGGCCGGGGACCCCGAGGCACTCACAGGCTCCTCTGCTCGTAGATCTTCTCAGACTTCTTCACGGCTGAGAGAACAAGACTAGATTAGCAAGCGTCCCCAGCCAGGGTGTTAACCGAGATCCGAGGCCCCCCTCGTCCTTTCTCCCCTGTGCCCTGGGCAGGCCTCAGATGGGACGTGGGGGCTGGACTGCCAATCACTGTGGGCCACCTGTACTGACAGGGGCTTGCTCACCACCTATCAGGAGAGCAGAGCTTGCAGAAGGTGGATGCTGCAGGCAGCACAGCAAACTCCCTCCCTCGTTTTTCCAGAGCATTCCCCTGCCCCAGACTCACTGTTCCACCAAAAGCCAAGTCCCACAGTGAGCCAGACCCATCATCTTCACAGGCAGTTTAGGGGGTTCATCTCTGCCTCGTGAAACTTATCTGACTGCCCTTCGGGCTGCAGCCAGGTCTGGGGACTCTGCCCTCATCCTCTACTGCGCATCCCCCCTTTTTAAAAATTTTATTTATTTGAGGCGGGGGGAGGGAGAGAATGAGTGGTGGGGAGGGGCAGAGAAAGAGAGAAGCAGGCTCCACGTGGGGCTCAATCCCAGGACCCCAGGATCGTGACCTGAGCCGAAGGCAGACGCTTCACTGACTGAGCCCCCCCAGGACCCCTCTCCACCGCGCCTTTACCTGGGCGGGAGCAGCGCACGCACAGGCCTGCCACCGTCCCCAGCAGCAGCAGCAAGGCCACCCCGGGCCACAGCAGCTCACTCTCCACATTCATGTCCACTCCTGGCCACTCGTCCTGCAATGCTGCAACGTGGGGCATCCTGTGAGAGCCAGTTGAGTCCTCCAGCCCCACACTGTCGGGTTTCTGATGCCCCTGTCCCCTGACAGCCCCACAGCTGAGCCCAGGCCATGGAAGCACCATGGAACCAGGAACAGGTCAGGCTGCACCTGGCCCTGCTCCCCCATCTGACCCCGGCCTGCACTTGACAAGTGCTGGAAGGTTCTGGGGACCCACCAGACAGCACTCTGTGTCTCAAATGTGCCTTTGCTTAATCCACACCACCGCCCTTGCGGGGGAGAGGCTCCCCACGTTTCACAAATCTAGAAACAGGCTGGGGTTCCCAGCTGCAAAGTAGAAAGACAGGATTCAAACTCGGGCCTCCGGACCCTAACTCTGCCTCTACCAACTGTATCCTGTCACCGCCTGTAAACCCAGCTTTGCTCCCTGAGCTCAGTCCATGGCCCCTTCCACACAGGAGCCCTGGTGGCCCCCATGCATCCAAGCCCCTGCCCATGGCCCCCTGGGGGAGCTGGGAGTGGGATTTCTGTTCTTTAAACACAGAGGGGGTTCCCGAGGGCCTAAGGGGAAGACGGGTGCTCTGGGCAGAGAGACCTGGTGGGCTGCCCACAGCTGCTGGTGGTGGGATGTGCTGGGGGCAGCTCTGCAGGGTGAGGAGGCTCTGAACCCGCCTGGCACCAGGCCACTGCTGGTCGAGCCATGCTGTGATGGCCAGGCCGTGGCGAAGCCCCAGGCAGCCACACACCAGGGCCTGGTGGGTGTAAGTACAGCCCCCGTGAGAGGGCTCCCAAGGAGAATCACTGCAACTATAGAGACTCGGTCTCCTGGCAGTGGCCGGGGACACAGCTGAGGGCGACAGCGCCTTTCGAGGGGGTCCCCACCCCATGGCAGGCAGGTGGAGCCCACAGCCCCCAGAGCATCCACTCTGCATGTCTCTTTTTCCTGGTTCAGCCACCTGGAAGGAGGGCTTCCCCCCACTTTTCAGCGGGGGAAGGCTCGGCTGGGCTCGGGAGAAGCGGAGCTCTGTGCTGCTCAGCTCCTGTGTTGGGCTCCCCTGAGCACCTCCGCTGCTCCCGGCTGTCCCCTCACTTCTCCCAGCTTCCTGAATCCTCACGGCACAACTGGCAAGGCTGAGCAACACCGAGCCTCCATCGGGGCCCTCCTGGAGAAGCCACCTCGCCTTCCCCAAACACTGAGTCAGTAGGAACACGAGAATTCCCCAACCCTATGATGGGATGGTCCCATCACCCCAGGATGTCGTCCGTGGGCTGTCCCCTGCTCTCGGGGCCTGGGCACTGCCCTCCCCACTTGCACACCCTCTTCTTTCCGCCCACCTCAGCCTCTCTGCTGCACCTCTAGCCTCAGCCCAAGTGCACTTTAGGCTGAGTGGGGTGGGGAGCACCAGGTGGTGGAGGGAGGACTCCTGCCTGTGCCTTTGAGTCTGTTGGCCTCAGTCTTCTCATCTATACAGTGGGGATCAACCCAGTGCCTTAAAGAACTGCTGGCAGATGATAAGCAGCCTGGCTCACTGTCCGGGCTTCTTGAAGAGTAACCTGCTGCGGGTCAGATTTCTAGCTGCCTGGTTTGGAGAACTCCCTCGTGCCTCTGAGGCCTGCACTTGAGGCCCAGGAGCCGGCCCACTGACCTTTGCAGCTTCCTGGAAAAGTGGTCTTCCCCAGAGGATCCTGGCCACCAGGGAGCCCTCTTGCTTCCTGGGCCAAGCAGCACAGTCGGGGTGCCCCCAGCCTTGCTCTACCCCTATCCACCTGGCACTGAATGAGGGAGGGGAGGGGAGCACGAGAACACAGAGTGGGCCTCCACTGTTGAAGCCCTGCATTGCTGACCTCTGGTAGCCCCTTGGAAATGGGGAAATAATGACACTCATCCCCCAGTTTGTCATGAGGCCAAGCATCGAGATGATGCATGAAAGTGGGGGGGGGGGGGACACTGTTGGATGACTACTATGCCTTGCCATCATCTGGGTCCCTATGGAATGGGAAGTGGCAGTGGCAGCCTTTTTGGGGTCAGGAGGAGCAGTGGAGCAACCTTACCAGAGCCTGCCTGCTTGGTCCCCAGGGGCATGCAGATCTGCACCTCCCCCCACCTTGCCTCCACCCCGAGGCTGGAGGGCAGGGTCCCCAGGGAGGGCTGCGCTCTGCCCCAGCCCCTCAGTTGTCACAGACACACCAAGTGCCATGTGGGAGATGCCCGGGAGGAGAGGGGGGCCCAGAGAGGCAGGTACTTGATCTGAGTTCGCCCGGCTAGCCAGTCACAGAGCCAGGACCCTGTCTCAGGCTGGGCTGACCCCAAGGGCCCTCCCAGCTACCCCCCTGCCCCCCGCCTTACATCACGTTTTTAAGAACCTCTTTTTAAAAAGAGAGACCCATTTGTTGCACATGCCTGTGGCTGCCCCTGGACTGAGCAGATCTGCCCTCCGGCCTGGCTTTTCTATCTGGTTCACTACCTGGTTGGGCAAGCAGGGCAGGCGGTCAGAGGAGGGTTGGGGGTGGAGGCCGAGCCCCGGGGGGGAGGTGGGAGGGCCCCAAGGGGCAGGCAGGGCTGCGTGGGGTGGGGAAGGAGGAGGCCACAGGCCCAGCACTGCAGAGCCAAAATAGCACAAAGGGAAGTGCGCAGTTTTCAGATGAACAAAGTTTGCAGCGGCCAGGCCTGTGGGAAAGCCCTCAGGGCTGGGCTGGGCAAGCCTCAGTGTCCCTCCCGCCCAATTTCCCAGCCGTCCTCGGGCCTGCGTGGGGAAACTGAGGCCTCCCAGGGTCGCAGGGCGGGCTCCGGGGTGGGAGTGGAGTGGGAGGTCGGGTCGGGGCCCTGGGAAGGCCTTCGGCGCTGGGCTCTGCTCGGGCGCCGGTTTGCCCACGTCCTCCTGGCCTTCACCTGCGGCCCAGCAGGCTCCTTAGCGCTCAGGTGGCCGGGGCGGGGGCCGGCGGGGTCGGGGGCCGGCGGGGTCGGGGGAGGGCTGCGGCCGAGTGGCCTGCCGAGCCTCGAGCCTCGTCCGCCTCCCACAGCCTCCCACAGCCTCTTATGGTCCCATTTCACGGATGAAGAAACCAAGGCTCCGGGCCCGGCCCCTCACGGGTCTGAAAGGGGCGGTGGGACCACCCCGGGGGCTCGGGGCCTGTGTGGGGCAGGCCGGGGAGGGCCCCCGAGGCCGCAGGGTCGGTCGGTCGGGGCGCCGCCGCTCGGGGCGCCGGGGGTGGGGTGGGGTGGGGGGGTGGGGGGGTGGGGGTGGGCAGCCCAGCGCCGCACGACGGGAGCCAGGCGGCCGGCCCTGCCCACCCCGGCGCAGCTGTCCCGCGGGCCGGAGGGCCGCCCCGGGGGCTCACCTGAGGTCGCGGGCGCTCAGCGCGCGCCCCTCATCCCGGCGAGCCGACGGCGGGCGGACGGCGGCGGCAGCGCAGGGCGGCGGCTTCCTGGCCGCGCCTGATTCGCCCGCGGGCTGCGCCGAGCGGGCCGGGGCTGGCGGAGGAAGGGCCGGCGCCGCGGGGCCGCGGGGGGCGGGGCGGGGCTCCCGCGGGGCCGCCCCGGGGCGCACCCGGCAGGCCCGCGGCGGCGGCGAGGCGGAGGGGCGGGCCCGGGCCGCGGCCCCCGGGCGGACGCGCGCCTCGCGGCTCCACGGCGCGGGCCCAGGGCGGGCGGCAGGTGCGCGCCCGCAGGAGCAGGACGGGGCGGGGGGGGGGTCCGAGGGGCCCGCACCCGGCACCCCGCACCCGGCACCCGGCACCCCGCCCACAGCTGCTCTCCCGCCCGCACCGAGGCCACCCAACCCTGGGGGGCTCCCCGCGGCCGGAAGACCCCAGGGAAACCCACGGGCGCCAGCGTCGGTCGGCCTGGCGCTTCGGGACGCGGGCTCCCTGGAGCCGGGGCCGCTCGGGGCCCGACGACGGGGTTTCTTTGCGGGTCTGTCGGGGCCCCGCCGCCACGGGCGCCCGCGGCTGCCACCCGGTGGGCGAGGAGGGGACTGCGCCCGCCGCCCTCGGGCCGCCGCCGGGAGCTCCCCCAGCCCCGCGCGGGGTCAAGCTGGGCGCCTGCCTGACTCCCACACTCCACAGACACTCGGTGGTGTCTGTCCGGCACCACCACTCCCTTGTTCCACGCCGGGCCGTGCCGCATTCGGTTCCCATGGTAACTGGCCCCTTGGATGTCACTTTTCTTACACAGCTGGGAAGACTGGAGGCCCGTGGAAGCGATGCTGGACTTGAACCCAGACTCCAGTCTCCAGTCTTGTCTTCCCAGCACCCACAAGTGCAGGGGGGTCGGTGGGTGAGCGCCAGCACCCGTCCTCGTCAGGACCACCTGCCTGACCGCCCCCCCCCCATTCACACCACTGGGACCCACCAGCGTCGGTTTCCATGGATCCCTGGCCTTTGCACCTGCCCGGGGGTTTCCAGCTGGTAGAGAGGGGTGGGGGCTCCACCTGTCCAATGGGAAGTTGCTGTCCGACGCCTCACTTCTTTCTGGGGCCTTGGCAATGGCAGGAGTGACCTCAGACCGCTGGCAGTCTCCAGGACAGTCTGCAGTGGGGCCTAGGAGCCCTCAGACCCTCTCTGAGCCCATTTTCCATCTACAGCAACAGGGGCCAGTCAACCCAAAGTCGCTTTTTGTTATCTGACTGGCAATGGGATGCCATGCCCTTTCTAGGCAATTCTTAAAGTCCGCCAAGGTTCTGTCTTATTCATAAACCATTGAGTTGTGACCCAGAAAATAAGCTTTGAAAAACTAGACGGTTCACACCCAGTTGTATTGTAGTGCACTTAAGGTATACAAATATTTTATTCTAAAAAGTATTTTAAATAATTCAGCAGTTTGTGTATTATCCATTTTCATGACCATTTAGCCACTTCTAAGTGTGCGATTCAGTAGCATTACATTCACAATGTTGTACAACCATCACCATGATCTATCCCCAAAACTTTTTCATCACTCCTCAGACATTTGGCTTTTCAGTTCAGAGTACCTGCTGTGTGCGTGCACATTTGTAACCTAATCAAGATACCTATGTGGTGATGCAACAGCACCCAAAACTTAACCACAAGTGGAGAATCTTCTGAAGTCACGTATACCCTAAAGGCTGATGGGAAACTACGCATTTTCTTCAGAAAAATCACCTTGTGAAGTGTGTGCGACATTCTAGAAACCCCTGGAGCCTGCCTAGGTCGTCTGCCACCTCCAGGCCCCAAGTCTTAAGGTGCAAAGGAGCCTCCCATCCACCTCTCCTCCCCAGCAACTTCTGACATTTATTCTTCATTGTAATTCAGTACCCAAAGGAACCTAGAGTGTCCTCATTCTTCTCCCACTCTCCATCTCGGGACCTGCTCATGTTGTTTTGTCCTCTATGTGTATTTCCTGAGATTTTGATTACAGTGCCACGACTGCTAGGGAGGCTAAATGTCATTCTTCTCATTTTGTGTATATTTTGAGGGCATAATTAAAAAAAAAAATCTAGTGAGCACACTCTTAATTTCAAGAGTGTAATGCATGTGAGCAAGACCTCTACCCATTCCAAGGAATCTTGGTGCTATTTACAGCATCTCTGGGCTGCCTGAAAAGCTTCTCATTTCCCTCTCTCCCCATTCCCTTCAGAAAGATAAGCTTCTGGGCCGGAAATGATTTTATTAACATTTACCTTGCCTCCAAGAGGTACAGGAAAGGAGTCTCTGTAGTGCCCAAACTGAATAACAAGAGCCTGCCATTGTGAAATAGTGTGCTTTTATTTATATATTTGGTATTTTACACCTAGAGGGTGGTTACAGGGTGGGGGGAGAGATTAGTAGTAGGTTATAGTTTAGTACAGAGTCTTCATTATTTCAGTTCACCATCATGGCAAAAAAAACCCTGCAGGGATCCCTGGGTGGCGCAGCAGTTTAGCGCCTGCCTTTGGCCCAGGGCGCGATCCTGGAGACCTCGGATCGAATCCCACATCGGGCTCCCGGTGCATGGAGCCTGCTTCTCCCTCTGCCTGTGTCTCTGCCTCTCTCTCTCTCTCTCTCTCTCTGTGACTATCATAAATAAATAAATTTAAAAAAATTAAAAAAAAAAACCTGCAAAGCCTCTAAAATGGATTTATAAGCCTGTTAACTTTAGGTAAATATCAAACATCTCACCGTTGTTAGCGACTGGCCAAGAAAACACACGAGACAGAGCAAAGCTCTCACTAAAACGAAGGGCAGACGTGGCCAGGCCCAGGCCAGATGCTTCTGAGAAAGCACAAGGAGCCCTGCCCAAACCACCAGCCACGGAGCAGTCTCCCCGCAGCTCTGGGCTGTTTTGTGGCCCTGCACGCTGGGAAACCGGGCCTGGGGAGAGGGCAAGACAGCCACCTGGACTGCTGTCCGGTACTGAGGATCACTTACAAAGCCTGGGATCGGACACCCTGTTTGCCTCCCCTCCTGACTCCCCTGAAAGAGCACTGGTGAGAAGTCCACTGGGCAAGACATCCAGAAGTGGCTGGGCTGGGCTGCCTGCCCCATTCTCTGCAAGACCAAGAAGCCACATGTACCACACTGGGCTGTAGCAGGTGCAGTTATCACTCGAAGAATAAACCTTGCAGAGGCCAGCAGCCCCACATGACCCCAGCAGCTATAATCTGAGAAGAGGACGGAGGGAAACAAGAGTATTTAAAGTACTCCTGTGAAAAGAGCCAACTCTAAGGAATAATTTAAAGAAACAAATAGGGGGTCCCTGGCTGGAATGTGTGACTTTTGATCCCGGGGTCGTAGGGTCGTAAGTTCGAGCCCCACATTGGGCTGTTGGGCGTACAGTTCACTAAAAAACAAAACAAAACAAAACAAAAGAAACAAAACAAAACAAAAGAAACAAGCAGGCGTTAAGAATCCCCTAGGGCCACAGAGTGCCGGCTCACTGCATGCACTGCCAAGAAATGCCACTTGCAGCGAGTCTCAAGCAGGAGCTGCTTGACAGGCTTGCTGGTAACTGGCTCTTCTTGCTCTCAACTGAATTCTTGACAAGTAACCTCCCTTCAGCAAGAAAGTCAGGCTATTCCTCAGATTCTCAATCAAGAGAGTAGAAGCCAGACAATCCCAGCACCTACCTCCTCACCTCTTCCTTTCTGCCTCCTGCTAAGACCTCCCTAAAGGAACAGGACATTTCGATCAGGATGGGAAGCCCCGGCTTCTGGAAGTTGGCTGTGCAAACTTCTCCTCTCCTGAGACCTGGAGAAACAATCTGGCCCCCGACAAGATGGCCTCTGAGGCCAGAACATTCTTTGAAACCTGAGCTCCTTATTATGAAAAGGGCCTTAGGTGGCATTCCACTAAATCTGGTTCCTCTAAGACATAGACATGGCCAACAAGCACATGAGAAAATGCTCTGCATCACTGGTCATCAGGGAAATCCAAATCAAAACCACAACGAGATACCGCCTCACACCAGTGAGAACGGTGAACATTAACAAGACAGGAAACCACAAATGTTGGAGAGGATGTGGAGAAAGGGGAACCCTCCCGCACTGTTGGTGGGAATGTGAACTGGTACAGCTACTCTGGAAAACTGTGTGGAGTGCTTGCTTCGGCAGCACATATACTAAAAGAAACTGTGTGGAGGTTCCTCAAAGAATTAAAAATAGAGCTACCCTAATAACCCAGCAATTGCACTGCTGGGGATTTACCACAAAGATACAGATGCGGTGAAATGCCCGGGACACCTGCACCCCGATGTTTCTAGCAGCAATGTCCACAATAGCCAAACTGTGGAAGGAGCTTCGGTGCCCATCGAAAGATGAATGGATAAAGAAGATGTGGTTTATGTATACAATGGAATATTCCTCAGCCATTAGAAACGACAAATACCCACCATTTGCTTCAACGTGGATGGAACTGAAGGGTATTATGCGGAGTGAAATGAGTCAACCGGAGAAGGACAAACATTATATGGGCTCATTCATTTGGGGAATATAAAAATTAGTTAAAGGGTATAAAGGGAAAGGAGAGAAAATGAGTGAAAATATCAGTGAGGGTGACAAAACATGAGCGACACCTAACTCTGGGAAATGAACAAGGGGTAGTGGAAAGGGAGTTGGGCCGGGGGTGGGGTGACTGGGTGATGGGCAGAGGGGGGCACTTGGCAGGATGAGCACTGCCCTGGGTGTTATGCTAAATGTTGGCAAATTGAACTCCAATAAAAAAAAATTAAAAAAATAAATCTGGTTCCTTTTAAGGCAGTTCAAGAGCAGCAGGGACAGAAAATGCAGAGGAACCAGGCCAATGGTCTGTTTAAACCTATCTCCAGAACATTCATAGTGGGCTCAAACTTTTATGAAAATGAACCTATTTACTTAAGTGCTTATTTGGGCAAAGATGTGCCCTCCTCTCTTAATTCAGTTACTTATGGATGAGATGCAGGTATGAAGATACCTTCTATGAGATTTAGTATCGTACAAACACTATGGACCAAGGGAATAGGTGCCTGTCAAGAGGCACAGGGGGACAGAGAAGACAGGGTCCTGGGATCGAGTTCTGCGTCAGGTATCCCACAGGGAGCCTGCTTCTCCCTCTGCCTGTCTCTCATGAATAAATAAAGCAGGAAAACCTTGGTATCGTTTCTAACCATCACTGGCTCTTAAAATAACTTTTTTTAAAAAAGGATATCGTAGAAGGTGTTTCTGAAGACTTTTCTTAAAAAGACTTATTAAAAAAATAATAAATAAATAAATAAATAAATAGACTTATTTACTCATGAGAGAGAGAGAGAGAGACAGGCAGAGGACTAAACAGATTCCTCACAGGAGCCCGATATTGGACTCGATCCCAGATCCCAGGATCACAACCGGAGCCGAAGGCAGCCGCTGAACCACTGAGCCACCCAGGCATCCCTCTTAAAATAATTTCATGGGATCCCTGGGTGGCGCAGCGGTTTGGCGCCTGCCTTTGGCTCAGGGCGTGATCCTGGAGACCCGGGATCGAATCCCACATCGGGCTCCCGGTGCATGGAGCCTGCTTCTCCCTCTGCCTGTGTCTCTGCCTCTCTCTCTCCCTCTCTCTCTCTGTGACTATCATAAATAAATAAAATTTAAAACAAAAACAAATATAAAAAAAAAAATAATTTCATGACTCCTCTAAGTTGCAAAAGCAAGACACTTTTCTCACTGCAGGTGAAGGATGCTCTATGAAACTCACCCATCACCTCCCAACTTTAAAACTGTGCAATTCCACATGAGGGCAGGTAAAAAGAACTCAAAAAATAAGGACAAGCATTAAATATTACGTAAGGTTTTCTTTTATTTAAAAGATCATTCACAAAATACCATATCCATAGATTTACTTTCTGTCATATAGCTGAATGTGTTAAGTGTTTGGAATTCCATTCTTACGTTTTAAAAGTCAACTGGATGGCCCAGAAGTTTAGATGATTTTGTTTTGTTCTTAATCTTTTCCACATTGAAGATGTAAGTAGGTCATCTGAAAGCATCAGGTTTGATTACAACCACATAATGCATGTCTTTCTTAAGTTAAGTATTGGTGTCACACAAATGGTTCTTATTTCAGAAGCAGAGGTGGCAGGGGGAAAGGAAGGAGGGGAGAGAGTTCTGTAATTGCTGAGACCTTGGGACAAAGACACGGTTAAGAGAAGCCGAGGCAGCCAGCTGGTGACGAGCACTGCCGCAGCCCAGTGTGCCGCCCAGGCCGGGCTACCCTGTGGCTCCTGGTCACCAGGGTCTCTTCCCCAGGCTCTAGCTGCTGGCAGGCCCCAAGCTGCTCCCAAGGGGAGGAGCAGGGCTCAGTGCTGCGGAACTGGAAGTTGTTCACATACAGGTGTGTTCCAGCCCAAAGGCAAAGGCCCAGCACACTGCCGGGCCCCTGGCCAAGTGCCGAACAGTGTGTGTGGGATCAAGAAACTTTGTCCCAAAGAGGAGACTCAGTGACAGACAGCCACCTACCAGCTATCTGAAGGTTCTGGACAGTTCTGCATAGTAGAATCCTCAATTCATTAAGTGAAACAATAAAGTGCCAGATTTTAGGCCCATTTTCATTATAAAACTCAGGGAAGGTGGGAAGCACAGTATCTCACTGTTACACTGGGGGACAGACAAATTCAAGGAAGAGAGGCGGGACCCACGCACGGCGGGGATCTGAGGAGGGGCAGTGCAGCCCTGGCACGGCTCTGCCACGGCCACCCATCAGTGCCCCCACAGCACCCTGGCCAGCAGGAGGGATAGCAGATGGAGGTTCTGTGTCTAGCCGGCCAGAGGCACATCTACTACTGCCAGGGAGGAGGGGAGCAGCCTGGGACACTGGCAGGTGTGAACATAGCAATGTGCTCAGCTGGCCTGATCCAAGTTCCTCACCAACACTCCACACCCCTATCCCCTTCTTTTGGGTTCCATGTTTGAATTGAGAGCCTCTTCTGCTTGAAGAATCTGTTCTGGGCAGGAGTAACAGAGACAGGGTTGCTTATAAATAGGAATAGGAAGGAATTTGCAAGGATCAACAGGTATTTTACTCTTGCTTTGAAAACAAGGTGCCTTAAATTCTGTATGTTGATCACAGCGGAATAAAGATGCTACCCAATTTGTGATTTCTTTCCTGTTTTGTTTTTTTTTTTCCTCTTTATCTTTTTCCCCCTCCCCATGGAAGCCACAGCAATACAGAACTCTACATGCAGGTTAGAAGAGAAGCGCTGAGAAAAATCAAAGAAACACCTGGGTCTGGCCAGTGCTCTAAAGTAAAGAGAGAAAGCAAAGGAGAAAAATGGAGCAGCACCTCCATCCAGAGAACGCCCATGGGTGGCTGCTTTGTCCCTCAGGAGACACTCATGTACTGGAAAGAAACAAGAAGCAGGAAGGAGAAAAGACAGAAGGAAAAGGCGAAAGGAATGGCAGAAAAAAAAAAAAGCACGAAACAGGCACTAGATAGGTTCAGCAAAGCCAAGAATGTACTAAAAACCACTTGTTAACTGCTGACATGCGCTCACAAGCTGTGTTTCCGTTTTAAGAAAGGAGGACAAAGGTCAGGCGCAGGAATGGTGGCTGCAGGACTGCCAGCCCAAGGGGCTGGCCAGGCTGTGGTCTCGAGCTAACTCCCCCACACCCCATTCCCTCCCAACCGCAAGCTCATTCTTGCTCCTTGTGAACGACTTCCTCTCTGGGCCTGGCTCCCCCGAAGATAGCAGAGTTGGGATTGGCTACTTGATTGAGGGGCGTTGCAACTGTTCGAGGCTTCAGCTGGAGCCGTGGCCTCTGTGCTCTTTCCTCTGTGGGAGAAAAACCAACGGTGGTTTATAAAGAATGGACCACCTTCCCCATCCAGGCAAAATGACCAAATGGAGGGCAGCCCCTACAACCCAGCCTGCTTTCTAACCAACATGCCAGCCTTGAAGATCTACCCTATCCCCAAACCTTCTATTAAGAGGTAAGAAGGTAAGCTTACTATTTAAGACTAAGAAGTGGTCCACAGAGGCCACTGTCCATGGCCTAAGAAGCCATGTGTGTGCGGGGGTACAGCCAGAGTACCAGGACAAGATACCTTCTGCTGACAACGTAGTGCCATACCTTCTGTTGGTTCTCTGAAGTCCATATTGGAACCTCGAAGGGGAGGGCCATCTCTGAACCGACTCCCCATTGGGGGGCCTGTTCGCCGGTCACCTGGGCGACTCCCTCCCCTGCCTCCTAAGAAGTCATCTCTGAAGCCTAAAGAAGGAAGAGGACACTGGATTACTTTTTAAGCTCCTGTCTCAAAGCTGACAGTGCAGCTGGTATAGATGGTTTGATTAGAAATTCAGTCTGTCCGACATCAGAAATTTTTGCAAAATAAAGTGTACTGAAAGGAGTCCAATGTGAACATGTTGGGTAATTTTCAGTTATAACGTATTTTTAACAGTTTTTAGGTTAAAAAAAAAAAGTTGTTTAAACCTTAGCTTGCAGGAAAAGTGGGAGGAAAATCACCTAAGACTATAATCTAATAAGGCTTACAATAAAATAAAAATCCTCAAAGCCCATTCTGTCTTCTAATATAAACCTCTAATTGTTAAAGACAAACCCGAAGTTTAAACACGCCGCCACCTCTGGGCAACACTCCATCATCTGTTTTTCTGCTGTGTGTCAGGTGCAAATCACTCTAAAAGTTAAGCACCTGTGCTGTAAACAAAAGTAGTTACGGAGCTGGACTCACTCCCAATATATGCCACCTCTTCCAGAAGAGGTGCTTCTCCTTGTTCCCAGGGTCTCTGCTAAAATAGTTACCAAAGTAAGCTGTGCCTCATTATGAGTGCTAAGAGTATTATGATGCTCGTGTGTAGATGATTTTCTCCATAGGTTTTTAAGAAGCCTAAGTTTTCTTTCCGTTTTTATTTTATTTTTTTAAAGATTATTTATTCATGAGACACACACACACAGAGAAGCAGAGACAGGCAGAGGGAAAAGCAGGCTCTATGCTGAGAGCCCGACGTGGGACTCGATCCTGGGATCCAGGATCACGCCCTGGGCCAAAGGCAGATGTTTAACTGCTGAACCACCCAGGTGTCCCCCTCCTTTAAAAAAAAAAGATTTTGAGGGGATCCCTGGGTGGCTCAGCGGTTTAACATCTGCCTCTGGCCCAGGGCACGATCCTGGAGTCCCGGGATGGAGTCCCAGGATCGGGTCCCACGTTGGGCTCCCGGCATGGAGCCTGCTTCTCCCTCTGCCTGCGTCTCTGCCTCTCTCTCTCTCCCTCCCCATGTCTATCATGAACAAATAAATAAATAGATCTTTAAAAAAATAAAATAAAAAGATTTTGAGAGGGGGAGAATGAGAGAGAGCACAAATGGGGGTGGGGGGAGAGGGAGAAGCAGATTTTCCACAGAGCAGAGAGCCCGATGCAGGGCTCAATCCCAGGACCCCAAGATGATCATGACCCCAACTGGAGGCATACACTCCAACCGACTAAGCCCCCCAGGGGCCCTGAAGCTTTTTTCTTTAACTTCCTTTTTACTGAAAGACTTTCATTTAGAGGGGGTCTGAGCGGGATCCCTGGGTGGCGCAGCGGTTTGGCGCCTGCCTTTGGCCCAGGGCGCGATCCTGGAGACCTGGGATCGAATCCCACATCGGGCTCCCGGTGCATGGAGCCTGCTTCCCCCTCTGCCTCTCTCTCTCTGTGACTATCATAAATAAATAAAAATTAAAAAAAAAATTTAGAGGGGGTCTGAGCTAATTAATTATTAGCCTTTTAACAGTATAGACCATTGAAGTTAGAGTTCACATTCGGTCAAAACTATGACAGAAATATAATCAAACAAATGAACCTACTCCCTCTCAGCCCTCAAAGGGCTACTTTCACTCTAAGGATGGTGCCATTGCTCAAGGCTTCTGAGGAACGTAACTCTATTTAGAATCCTGAGGGAATGCCTGGGTGGCTCAGTGGTTGAGTGTCTGCCTTCAGCCCAGGGTGTGATCCTGGAGTTCCAGGATCGAGTCCCACATCAGGCTCCCTGCATGGAGCCTGCTTCTCCCTCTGCCTATGTCTCTGCCTCTTTCTGTGTCTCTTATGAATTTAAAAAAAAAAAAAAATCCTGAGCTCGAGGAATATTCTAGATGTGGTCTTATCCCCATTACTTGTAGATTTCATATTTGCCAATAGGTCTACTTGCTAGCATTTGAATGCGACCCTAAAACCAATACTTTTGGCACTTCTGCTTTTCTAGACATGCATAGAGCGGTGGAAGATGGGAGCTGCCTGAAATGCACATTTTACAGCTGAGATCAAATGAAGCAACCCTCGGCCTTCTTGCTCAGACCATAAACAAATGTCTTTTCAATCTATTCAGTGCCAGGTTTCTGCTCTTTTGTGCTTTTCCTCAGAACAGAGCACCAAAGAGTTTGTCTGGTATAAGTGCAAGAAGGTGGTCTTGTGCCTCACAGAGAAAGTACGAGTTAGGTAAGCTCCATTTGGGCAGAGTTCTAGTGCTGCTGGCCATGAGTTCATGGTCAGGTGAATCAACAGTATATATGAACTAAGGTGTCTTTAGACAGAAATCCATACAAGAAGGTATGCACTGCCTGGCTGACAAAAATGCTACGACCAGAGATTCTCAGGAATCCGACCTTGTTGTCTCCCCAGGAGCAATGGTTTGGTGTCTGGTCATCAGGTGTTCCCAGTACTTTTAAACTTAACTCCCTTGGATACGGAGAATGATTGTTTCAAGGGTGTTATTTTTCTGTTCTTTAAGGGTGGCCAAGGAATTTGGGAAGAGATCAAGTTACGTTGTATCTGGTATGTTGTATCAGAAAAAGAGCTGGACAACATCAATTTTAACAAAACAAGTAATGAAAACAATTTCAAAAACATTCAGGCCAAGAGGAGCACTGAGTTGGGGAAAATACACTAGGACGCGCAGAGTCAGATCGAAGATTCTTTACAGAATCTTTTGAATCAGAGCTCACACTGTTTATTAAATAAGCTTGCCTGGTATTCAAACATTTAACCTGACATATCGCCCCCCCCCCAAACTGGGAAGCATATCTTCCCACGTGAACATGGAAGTCACTTCCCCTGTGCACATAATTCTTGCTACCAGTGTGTACCAGTAAGCAGGTCACACTCACACTGACAAGGCAGATAAAGACAACCGCTGCTTTGTCCAGGTGGCAGGAGACAGTCTAATGGAGGAAAAATACCCAGTGCATGTTAAGAGCAAGTAACAACCCCATTCCCAAACTGCTTATGATAGGAGCAGGGGAAGATGACAAGGGAAAAGCAAGGCATGACATTTGCCCTATCTTTTAATTAAGTCTGAAGATGGCTCGCAGTTGAGCATCTGCCTTCAGCTCAGGGCATCTATTGCCCTTCAGCTCAGGGCATCCCAGGATCAAGTCTTGCATTGGGCTCCCTATGGGGAGCCTACTTCTCCCTCGGTCTCTGCCTCTTTCTGTGTCTCTCATGAACAAATACATAAAATCTTTAAAAACAAAACAAAGTCTGAAGACAGATTTTTGGGAGGCACACTCGTCATGAAAATCTTCTAAGTTGTCTTTTTTTTTTTTTTTTTTTTTTAACAATGAGCATGTATCATCTTAAAAACAGTATCATTCTGGGACACCTGGGTGGCTCAGTAGTTGAGCATCTGCCTTCAGCTCAGGGCGTGATCCTGGACTCTTGGGATAGAGTCCCACATTGGGTTCCCTGTACAGAGCCTGCTTTTCCCTCTGCCTGTGTCTCTGCCTCTCTCATGAATAAGTAAAATCTTAAGAAAAAAAAACAAAGCATCATTCTTTAAAGTACAGAAAAGATCTATTTTCACAAATGACACATATAGGCATTACTTCATGTGGGCACTTTGGGTTTCAGATACCCCCCAAACACTGCAGTTGATGCTGAAACTGGCGGGTGTTGAGGAGGCCTCTGGCTGTGTTCTCTGTTCCAGAAGAGTACAAACCCAAGCTAAGGCAGCAGGTCCTTAGGTAACCTCCACATATCCAGAGCCACAGCTTGTGTATTCCTCCAGTCCCAGGAATTCAAAACCACCAGGTTCAAGACCACTATTCATCAGGCCACTAAGGGCTGCACCTGGACTGACTGAGAAGACATTTGTTGCATGTTTCAATCAGAGACTAGCTTATACATAAAATTACAGGTTTACTGGATCATACTGTACTTTTATGAATAAGCTCATTTCTGACTGGCTAGAGGACTTTTAGGAATTAAGTTATTCAACAGATATAAGCAGTCATCTGTTTAGCTAGATTAGTGCTGAAAGGAATTTTTAATAATTCTGATCTACAACAGCTTGTCCTACTTCTTCCAATACTTACCAAATAAATAGTTTATGCTGAATTTGGTTTGATGGGGGGGTGGGGAGGATGATACAGTGGGTGGGGGCGCTGATGGCACCATCTTATATAGTGGGGAGTGCAGAGTTTGAAGAAAACATTTGTTTTTCATTTTTTTACCTTTCTGTTACAACTGATATTTTTATTGCATATGTGAATTACTTTTATTTAAAAAAAAAAGAGATTAAAAAATGTTTAGTAGGAGACCGACCCTTCAAAGCAGAGGCCTGACACGCAAACTGATCTCCTATGTTAAGACAGGGAGGCACCTGACAGCCTGCCTTGGTAGGTTAAGAAAAGAACAGTCAAGTGGATCATGTCCACCATGAAGGGATGGGAGTTCCATGCCCTTCAAGAAAAAAACCCTGGTCACCAGGATTTCAATCATGCAAGAGGGAGCCACCAAGAACTAAAGTGACGAAGCTTTCTGTAAGCTTCCAAAACCTCCACGCTATTTCTAGAAGTAGCAGAGTTTCTATTTGTACCATGCACCCTAGTGCTGCCAAGGGGATTCCTGAGACGAAGGCCTGGATGATAACTGTAGGCCAAGGCAAGGTAAGACAAGATGGAGGATCAGTCTACCCTGCCCAGTGGGGAACCTCTCAAGTCCTACTCCAAATACTCAGGTTCTAAAAGAGGCTTGGTGCATGCCTGGGGACCTTTTGGGAAAGTTTCATCTGTGGAATGAGCTAATGGAGTGGTCCGGCCGGGCGGGCTACTCACAACAAACGTACAACAGCAGCAAGGCCACTGAAAAAGGTTAAGTGGCAATATTTTAAATGCTGATACCGGAATTGAAGTCATCCCGGGAATCCCATCCACCTCTAGATTCTCCAGGGCCACCCATTCCTGAGGATACACAAGAAAGATAAAGTTGAGGTTGTACCATTACCTTGCTGCACAAACATGGAAAAATTCAGTGGGAAGATGGACAACTCATGTGATGAGAAGTTCACCGGAATTATAAGAGTTCTTGCTGCCAACAGAAAAAAACCCTGAAAAACCAAAAAACCCAAACAACAAACCAAAAAAACACTCCAGGCTTGCAGAAGCACCATCCATTCTCAAGATTTTTACATGTGTTTAAAAACTCACAAAAACCTATCAGACCTGTAAGATAGTTCTACTAGTAACCTTCAAGAGTTGTAATCAGTGGGCTACAGCAAGTTTATGTTCAATTTTAGAAGAACCAATCACCTCTGTCATCTGGTCCACCTTTCCTGAATCCAAAGCCACCTTTATCTTGTTTTCTGCCTTCTGCAATGTCCACACGAAGTGACCGATCACCCAACAGCTAATGATAAGGGGAAAATAGTGTAAGTATTGGCAGGAAAAAAACATCTCAACTTCTAACATGACACAGAAAACCTGAAGATACTTACTGCACCATCGTATGTCAAGGCTTCCTTAAGGGAATCCACCTCATCAAATTCTACATAGCAGAATCCTGTAAGAGAAACAAACCCCAATTTCCTCAAGGAATTCTAGGTGAAGACATGGTGGGATTACGGTCGGGTCCATTTCCCAACTCTTGTATCTAGGGGACACTAGAGTAGTAGAGCCTAAAAGTGAGATTGCACTTTCTGATAAATACAAAATACCTGACTGGCATTCCTCCCTCTCAATTATATTCTGTCAGAAAGAGCCAAACAGGCATTGAGATATTTGGCAGCTCCGTTTTTACAGGTTTCTTTTTATGAATTTTAACCATAATATTCAAACCTTTCCTGAGTCATTGAAGAGCTGTCAGGACTGACTTTTGAGTAACTTTAATATAACGCAACTGGGGCTTAAAGACAGATTTCACATTCAATACCAAACATGCTTTGGAGGAATAGGCTGAAAGTGCCTACTTCTTAGTACTCAGGTAGTTGGTATAAAATCTGCTTTATACAACTAAGAAATATACCCTCAGTAACAAGGGCATCCTCTTTGGGATGCTAGTTAAAAGACAGATGGCCTAGGTCCAAACATGTGTTACCCACAATCTGTGTCCCTGATGCCAGATTCTGACACAGGCCTGGGAGCACATTCCCAGGCAGAGGAAACCACACCTTCTCTCACCTCCAACCTTTGCATTAGCTTCTCCCTCTACCTCCAACACACTTTCCATGGTCCGTCCTTGCCACCTGGTGTCTAAATCCAGGTTAAGCATCCCCGCTGCCCCAATACGCTCACACTGCACCCCATGCAACACCCTTCCACCCTGTATATCCCCATCCTGTGTGATGATTACACTTCACCTTCAAAGCCCACTAGACCGCAAGTGCTCTGTAGGCTTGGGTCCAAACTCGTCCTGCTCACCATCTGCTCATTAACTACTTAAAGAACGCACTGCTTAGCTGGAGAGTCTCCACCTTCTCCGCAAGTGGATTCAATGTCTGGAGTACTTGAGGAAACCACTTTGCAAGTTCAAAGAGGCCACAAAAGCCCACTCACCCATCTCACCCTTCCTGAGTTGCTGAAACTGAGGATGACCCTCCAGTAGACAAACTAAAACTTGCTTCTACTGACTCAGCCCGAAGGCTGGCCTCCCCCACCCATTTCCCCTGAAGCCAGGCACTCCTGGTGCCTCAGGGAGGGATACTGGCTGGGGCTTACTTTCACAATACAAATGGATACATTTGTTTTCATTGTTTGGGCACTTAAAACAAGGCTTCAGGTTCTAAAGCCAAAAAAACTTTCAAAATGATAAAAGTACCACCTATTTGCAAAACTATTCAGAGGAGTGAAACTTCCACTTCTCATACCACTCCTCACCTTTCCCAAACACACATGCTCCAAAGCCACAAATGTAGAGTGACAATATTTATTAGGTTTTCTTTTTATTCCACACAAATACCTAGATTACAGGAAAACTATAAAGAAATATGCAAGGAGTCAGGCCAAGGTGAAATGCACCTGCAAAGTCCTCAGTTTTATCTGTTCATTCCCCTCTCAGGGAACTCCCTTACTGGTGAGACAAGATAGCTAGGTCAGGCAAAAAGATATACTCGGTCATATATATACTGTGTATTTCTACAAACCAGATCATGTGTAGACATTTCTTCCGCAAGTAGAACTGAAAGACTATGAGTTAAAAGCTTGTTTATTTCAGCTACGACAGGCAAATATTTAGAACACTTTCATAACTGGAGCTCTCTGGTTCCCTAACATTTTGGTTTCAATGCTCCCTCTACATTGGTAAAAAGAACACCCCCAAACTCACCTTTAAATTTGTCTGTGTCTTTGTCTCTGACTAGCCGCACACTCCTTATGCTGAGATCCTTAAAGATAGCATCTATGTCGCCCTGAACTGTATTAAAAGGTAGATTTCCTACATACGCTGTGTAGGGGGGCTCTGTGGGCAGCTCCTTCTGGCTGCGGGAACCATGGCCACCAGCACTGCCGCGGGACCTGGAGGGGAAACAGACAGGATTCAAGTCTACTTGCCTCGGAGCAGGAACGAGGAAATGGTCTTCCACTCAGCCACACCACCCATGTGAATCATTCCACTTCAAGACACAATAACACCTTGAAATTATCAAGTCTTCCAAACTATCATTCCTGACCAGGGTGCCTAGGTTTTGGTGACAGAAATGTCCACCGAAACACAATCTATATAAATATTCATTTCCCTGGAAATTCAAATCCAAGTAGGACATACCCTCCTTGCAAAACTGGTTACATTCTATTTACTTAGATTCAGTACCTGCAAAATATTTATATCCTAAAACCTTAGAAAACACCCTCCTTCTTCACACATGATCATCCTAATACATGCGGAAATGGACTGTCCAGAGTTAGCACACTGTATTCAGAAAGGATTTGTAAAGCTGCTGAAGTTTAACCCATTCGTAACACACCTGCTTCTTGCTACTGTCAGACTGTGGATAATACAAATGCTCGAATAAAATTTTTAGATTTTATACAGCAAGTACTATGTACATACTACCTTCCAACACTGCCCATGCACACTTCACCGGTCCTCAAATGCATATTACCTAATCCACTTAATCCTCAATAGCAACCTCCCCTGTAATAAGTGGTTATGTGTCTATGGTTATGAGGCTCAAAAGTGGCAAAAGCAGGACAGACCCTGACTCTACCACATCTCATTGCTAATTTGTTCTGGTTTGAACCCCAGCTGTCACCAACTCACTCTACCCTCTGAGTTACTCAACTTCTCTAAGCTTTATTTATTTGTAAAATTGGGTTAATATTAATACAGAGTGGGAACCCTGGGTGGCGCAGCGGTTTGGCGCCGGCCTTTGGCCCAGGGCGCGATCCTGGAGACCCGGGATCGAATCCCACGTCGGGCTCCCAGTGCATGGAGCCTGCTTCTCCCTCTGCCTGTGTCTCTGCTTCTCTGCCTCTCTCTTTCTGTGACTATCATAAATAAATAAATAAAAATTAAAAAAAATATTAATACAGAGCTTGAGTTACTGAGAAATAACAAATATAAGGCCCCTAAACACTGACTGAAGCACAGTACACACAGGGAAGTGACATTATCATCACACCTATAACTCAAGGTTCACAATGTTTTATAGATAATTAAGAAATAAACTACACATTTGCCACTACACATTTGTCAGAATCCACAGAATGTGTATATCAACAGTGAACCCTAATGTAAAATATGGACTCTGGGTGATGACAATGTCAGTGTAGGTTCACGGACTGTAACAAATGTACTGCTCTGCTGTGGGGTGTTGACAGCAGGGCCATCTGTGGCCGTGTGTGTGTGTGTGTGTGTGTGTGTGTGTGTGTGATGGCAGGGCAAATATGGGAATTGCATTTTCTTTTTTTCCACAAAGACTGATTTGAGAGAGCAAATGAGATCTAGTGAGTGGAGGGTGAGGGGCAGAAGGAGAGAGAGAAGCAAAGCAGACTTCACACACAGGCTTGATCTTATGACCCTGAGATCATGACCTGTGGGGAAACCAAGAGTTGGAGACTCAAGTGACAGAGCCATGCAGGCACCCTTAGGAACTGGTATTATCTGATCCATTTTGCTGTGAACTTAAAATTGCTTTAAAAAATAAAACATGGGGCACCTGGGTGGCTCAGTAGTTCAGTGTCTGCCTTTGGCTTGGGTCATGATTCCAGGGTCCTGGGATCGAGTCCCACATCAGGTACCCTGCAGGGAGCCTGCTTCTCCCTCTGCCTGTCTCTGCTTCTGTGTCTCTCATGAATAAATAAATAAAATCTTAAAAAAATAATAAATTAGAACAAATGATTGGGGAGGGGAGCTCTTCTTTATATCAACAAGAATGTCAACTAATAAATGTAAAAGGAATCATGTCCATAGAAAACCAGTACTCTTGGGGTGCCTGGGCAGCTCAGTTTGTTAAGCTTCTGACTTCGGCTAAGGTCGTGATCTCAGGGTTCGGGGATGGAGCCCCTAGTTGTTAAATCTGCTTGTCCCTCACCCCCTGCGTCCTCTTCTTGTGCTCTCAAAAAAATTAAAAAAAAAAAGGAAGATGGAAAAAAAAGAAAATCACTACTTGTACCCACCAAAACAGCAGTGGTTGATTCAGGCAAGTCTCATCAATGGACATCAAAACCACCAATATAAAATGTACCTGGCCATCACCATGTTAACCGCTAACTGACAAACTTTTACACTGTGCCTTCTATTTTGGCACAGATTCTTCAAATATGTCAAAAATTGTGAAAAACAAAAAAGGCAGGGGGATCAATGAAACATGACAACTAATGCTACATATCATCTTTGATCCTGGAACAAACAGCTATAAAAGAAAAAAAAACAGATGGAGAAATTAGAATATGGCATGAACAGATATCACTGCATCAATGTTTAATTTCTGGGGAGTGGTAACTGGTACTGTGGTCAGAATGGCCCTGTTCTCAGGAGAGACCCAGAGGGTTCAGCATAAAGGACATGTGTGCAGGTACATATAAAGATAGGGCAGCCCCGGTGGCGCAGCAATTTAGCGCCACCTGCAGCCCAGGGCGTGATCCTGGAGACCCTGGATTGAGTCCCACGTCAGGCTCTCTCTGTATGATGCCTGCTTCTCCCTCTGCCTGTGTCTCTGCCTCGCGCTCTCTCTCTGTCTCTATGAATAAATAAGTCTCCTCACAACAAAGATCTGCTCAGAGTTACCCTTTTTGCAGGGCAAGCATCAATACAAGTCACAGAAAGTAATTTTTTTTTTTAGTAATTTGGTTTTTTAATCCCATTTTGCTAGAAATATCATAAAAGAGATTCCCCATCTTTCCTGAGGTAACGTTCTTTTTTTTTTTTTTTAAACTCCTGATTATTTTTTTTAAAGATTTTTTTTTTTTTAATTCATTCATGGAGACACAGGCAGAGAGAAGCAGGCTCCATGCAGGGGGCCGATGCGGAACTCGATCCCAGGTCTCCAGGATCACGCCCTGGACCGAAGGTGGAGCTAAACCACTGAGTCATCCGGGCTGCCCCCTGAGGTAACATTCTTTAAAACGTGTTTTTAGCCGAAGAACCAAATCATGACGTAATTCTTGACTAAAAAAAAAATTTTTTTTAAAGATTTTATTTATTTATTCATGAGACAAACAGAGAGAGGCAGAGACACAGGCAGAGGGAGGAGCAGGCTCCATGCAGGGAGCCCGATGTGGGGCTCGATCCCAGGACCCTGGGATCACACTCTGAGCCTAAGGCAGACACTCAACTGCTGAGCCACCCAGGCGTCCCCCCAAAAAATTTTTTTTAAAGATTTTATTTATTGGGGATGCCTGAGTGGCTCAGCAGGTGAGCATCTGCCTTTGGCTCACGGCATGATCCCAAGGTGGATCGAGTCCCACATCAGGCTACCTGCGTGGAGTCTGCTTCTTCCTCTGCCTATGTCTCTGTCTCTGTTTCTCATGAATAAATAAAACCTTTAAATAAAAAAAAGTTATTTATTATGAGAGAGAGAAAGAAAGAGGCAGAGACACAGAGGGGAGAAGGAGGTTCCATGCAGGGAGTCTGATGTGGGACTCCATCCTGGGACTCCAGGATCACGCCCTGGGAAGGCAGATGCTTAACCACTGAACCACCCAGGCATCCCCTTGACTAAAATTTTTTAAGTTTAGTGACTCAGAATTCCACCTCTTGCAGATAAGAAATCCTATGTTTTGTTTTCAAGTGGACTGCATTCCACTTGCTCCCACTCCCCAGCCCTGCCCCACTGAGTTTAGTAAATTGACTTCAATACTCTCTGCAACACCATTGTTCTTATCTTGATAACCTTAAACTATTTTATAAAGATTTACTTATTTATTAGAGAGAGTGCGTGAGCATGCACAGGCAAGCAGGGTGGGGAGGGGGATCTCTAGCAGATTGCTTGCTGAGCAAGGAGCCTGCCATGGGGCTCAATCCCATGACCCTGAGATCATGGGCTGAGCTGAAATCAAGAGTCAGTCATTTAACCTACTAAGACATCCAGGCACCCCTAAACGTTAAAATATTTTCAATAAGATACTCTTTGAGACGGAATACTGATTATGTAAGATACAGTATAAGCATAAGCATTTGGAAAACTGTCAAAACACAAGATGAATTAACAATTTTAACAACTTTCAATTCACATATTCAATATTTACTAAACATCTGGTGGAACAGACCTCTGCCCTCAAGCAGCTCACAAGTGAGTAGTAGCACATATAAAATACGAATAACTATGAGCATGCATGCATGCATATTTGTGTATATATGTACACACACACATATGGCAAAGAGCTGCAATGATTTTTTTTTTTAATCTAAGGTAAAGGTAAGGATGGAGAGCTGACAAATCCAGCAGGTGTACATCTATGAATCAGGAATATGGAGGGCTTGCTTAAAGAGCGCATCAAACATTTACACGAGAACTTCTGCAGGATGCTAGATGCAAGCCCGGGAAGGCTGAGGTCAGGGAGCCAGGTGAGCCTTGATAAAGACTGCTTCCCCACGGGGTGAGGGTGCTAATTACATGACAGGGCACTAGAAGAATGCAATAGGTAAGAAGCCAGCCCGGGCTTTGGGAAGATGGAAGAATCTCATTTCAGGCAAGCAGTATTTTAAAAAAGCTAGAGATGTGGGAACAGCTAACCCAGCCCATTAACCTGCTCATTTCACCTGAGTCTCACAAAATAGCTGGTGGCTGACAATTCCAGACCTTTCCCAAGAGTCACCGCAGTCATCCTAAATACCACCTGATCTGATGTAGTCAGTTCTACCGGACTTAAGTGTGTTTTAGCTTTTCAGTGAGTAGTTCACTGAAGATGTGGGGGCAGTCAGTGCAGTGGGACCAGGGCCCTCTCCCTAGATTCCAAATTTACTGGCTCCAAAAGTTACAAAGTTATAAATAGAAAGTGGAAGTCACCAGTGTGCCAGCAACTTGAGAACCAAGAGTGGGGGAGACACACCAGAGAGTACACATACAAGTCGT